ATCAAATTTCGATTTACTTTTAAAGTGGATATATAATTCGATTTAAAGTTGTTTCACGCAAGCGAATAAAATGTGGATTAACATGGAAATCAGGTCTCTAATCATAAGTCTTGTCGAAACGACAGAGGTGACTTTTAATCTTCCAGACGTGTATATTGTTACGTCAGCATCGCATTATCAGTAGCATTAATTATTTATTGACAGATTAACTATCTGCGTGTTATGACTGCATTTCTTCGCTTATTAGAGCACATGACCTAGATTATCAATGTGTTATGCTTGTTTAGTAATCGCAGCTAAACCTACAGCGTTTTAACATTGTTATGTAAAGAAAACAAAAACATAATCATAGTTAGGTTTAAAAATGATCCAATCATATCCATACCTACATATACAATCGAAATCGGTAATTACGAACTTCAAGGGACTGTAAAATTGTGTACGTTATATGCAATGTTCACTTTAGCCAATATATCCGCTTATAGTGAACAGTTTGTTATATCCAAACATTTCATAGAATGCATGCGTTCTTGTGTAGAGATATACTGAAATTTTTATGTCAATTTTTTCAAGATTTTTAAGGAATTTCAAAGTACTGATCTTATAAAGATATTTACATATTTTAAAAATTAATACGTTCTAATATTATTGTGCATATTACGTATTTTTTATTTTGAATATATATATATATATATATATATATATATATATATATACATATATATATAGAGAATAGAAATAGAAAAATCAAGAATAATCATCTTTATTCTGGGTCTAGGTCCCTTTAGAATAACAGTATTGTTCATATATATTAACTACAAATCTGGTCAAAAGACTTATTACAATGAATAATGACAAAATACATGTAATACATTAAGTATATATATATATATATATATATATATATATATATATATATATATATATATATATATATATATATACATATAATAATAATATGAGAAGGAATTAGTCGAGGGTGCGGTCAAAAAAAAAAATAAAAAAATTAAAATATATAAATAATTTTAATTTTTGCCGACGTTTCGACCCACTTTGCAGGTCGTCTTCAGGGCTACAAAAGATACAAACATGTTGAAAATATAAAAATAAAATAAAAAACAAATATAAGTATATATAAATTTTTGACCGCACCCTCGACTAATTCCTTCTCATATCATATCAACGGTCAACCATCTCTACATCATTATAATAATAATAGTTTTTTTTTAATAGAAAATAACTTTATTCTGGGACAAAGTCCCTTTAGAATAACAAAATAGAACAAAATTAAAATACTACATCTGGCCAAAATAAAACAATAATAAAAAAGAGAAAGTAAAGAAAATATTAGTTAAACAAGCTATATACAAAAAAAAAAAAAAAAATCTATATACAAAACACTTAAAACTATGATAAAACACTTAAATGAGAGGGTCATATACACACACACACATATATATATATAGAGAGAGAGAGATAGAGAGAGAGAGGTACGTATTATATAGCTTATTATTATTGTATTAGGCGAAGCACTTAAAAATAGAACAAAAAATATAATTAAATAATTATCACATTCAAACAACTAAACAAAAACATGATGCATGTGTAGACGTCAAATTGTAATAAATGTTTACAAAATTTAGGTTGGTTGTGTCTTTATATTTTCATGCATTCTCTGGATTAGTAGTGTTGAAAATCCAAGTTTTCCAATTCTTCCCATCGTCGGAGTGGCATATTTGAAGAAATAAAACCTGCAGTTTTTTTATTTTCTCCGTTTTTCTCAAAATGTCTTTTAAACAATCGGTCAGAAAAAAAAAAAATCGGATTTTGTTACTCTTTTAAATTACCTAATTTTTAAGACCGATACGCAACTTGAAAGAGTCCGTGGTACAGATTCCTTTTTATCAAATTATTATTCGTTAATAGCTTCATTCCAACCTAAAACTATTTTTTTTTTACGAAAATTATCGGAATTGTGGAGTTTTCAATATGGAGATTGGCAAACTTTGTCTATTTAATTAAGTACTAAATACCCATTTGCTTTTCACTTAAATCACAACATAATTTGAGCTCAAAATCGTGAAAAAAGGTGGTCTGCAAAAATATTGGGCCGTTTGGCATGACCTTCATAACCATATGTAAAAATAACGAGGTTATATAGACTAAACGGTCCAATTTTTTTGAAGCCATCTTTTTTCTCGATTTTTGCGATCAAATTATTCTACGATACAAGTAGAAAGCAAATGGGCATTAAAGAGTTTTTAATACGTATTAAATAGACAAAGTTTGCCGATCTTCAGATTGAAAACGATCCAATTCCGAGTGTTTTCGTAAATAAATTGTTGTAGGTTACGATGAAATGAAACTAAGAGGTTTCAGGCGGATGTTAATCATTTCATAAAAAGGAGCCTGTTTCACGGACTATAACTGAATTACATCTCAAGCTCTTTGAATCATTTGTTTACTAAAAAATATCAAAAGTTTAAATTCTCTATTGCTTGGAGGCTACTAAATAATGAATCTTACAATAAAATTTAACTTAGCAGCTTTTGTGCTTGAGGTAAATAACTAAGGTTAAGACGTAACTGATTCCGCCCAATCGTCTAAATAATGAGATGTCATTAAAAAAAAAATGTTGTTATAACTCAGCGAACATACTGAATGAGACATTTTCAGCATTTCTGTCGATTTATTAGCATATATTAATAAATTTATGTATACATCGTGAATAATGCACAATTATAAGTAAATGATGATGATAGTCATGTAAGGTATTTCTATGAAAACGGTATTAACAATGCCAGATTCCGCCACATGTGTGTTTTATATGTAATGCAAGTTTGAACGAGGTTAATCTCTTAAAATTAGTAATAAAAACAAAGAGATTTCAAATTGTCTCAAAATGGAACGTACGCCGTTTGCTTTCGGACTGCACGGCTTTATAGAAAGGCCTAAATATAAATAAATAATCCATAATCCTATATTAATTCGTGATTGCAGCTTTCAACAAATGGCGTGCTGAAGAAGCAAGGCCTACTCTGGGGGCCCAGATGAGGGTTTCACAGCCCAGGTTGCGCCATCAAAAGTTTTGAGGGGGGTACATTTTTTTGATGTTTTGACTTTTTGAGAGGAGCACATTTCGATGTGGTTATAAATTTTCGAAATGAAAAGTTTCAAACGAGTGGACAAGAGGAAACCATAGAACAGACCACTGAAAGTGTAATTATAAATGATCTATGGTTTTTAAAATTCTACTTTAGATGGCAGTGTTTTTAAGAAAAGGAGAGCAATAAAATATCTTGGGAGGAGGGGAGAGGTTCATGTGCCATCGGCCTTGGGGAGAGGGATGGGTACCCTTGCCAACAAACTAATCAAAGGGAACGGTTTTTGAAGTTAAAGAACCACTGCTTCATGTGTGGTGGAAAGCTAATTTCAGAATTTTTGTATGCTCAGTCAAGATAAAGCGAGATTGAGAAAAACAATTTGGCAATAATTATCCTTATTTTACCAAAATAAATCATTTAAACAACCACCAACTAACTGTACTAAAGAACGTAAATCAGCCAGCATTGTCAATGAAAATATGGTATAATTGATCCCTAACCTAGGCCAGTGAGAAGAGGAGGGGGAACAGGGGGGTTGCAGCTAGGTGTTATCAAGTGTATTAATTTTATCCAGAATATCCAATCCTTCCTAGATAAACAAACAATTTGTTTTAATCGTATTCGACTTTTTAAAAACCTTGATTGTGTAAATAATAAGGCCCTCCTTTCCTAACTCCAAAACCTTTGTATATCAAATATAGGAACACTTTCACTAATTTTAGTAATTTTATTATTATTATTTTAGGAACACAATGCACTTTCTTGCTCGACCCTAAGTCTAGAACTGACCCAAGGTTAAAGTTTATTGAGCTGTATGAAGTATAAAATTTTAAGGACTGTTCAATAAGCGATGTCCTTCACTTAACTAGGGGAATGGGGTAGCGGAGTGATAGAGCACTGAGCCTCCAATGCTCTATATTCTAGTTTTCAATCCCGAGTTTTAGCAGATAGATATATTATTTATTCTGTTTCATCAGCCATGGATCAACCCTTGGGTCAGTAGACGCTCCTGGGCCACACCCATCCTCTATAAAGTGGATAACCAGCCTCTAACAGCCTCTGGATAAACAGCCTCTAACAGCCTCACATCTACTATTCTTACTTTTTCTCCCTCAGTGCCTACCTCTATTACTATCATTCAGTATGCTCTCAGCACTGACATTCCTTCCTATCATTAACTCTTTCTCACTTGATAATACTACAGAGTTAGTATCAAGAACTTCTGAATATTTTTTCATCACTTCTGAGTATTTTAAATAATTCTGGAATACCTTGGGAGTGACTTATTACTTTCTCTCTGCATAGAACTTCTTGCTCTGATTTTTTAAATGACTAGGCAGTGATCAGATTCAGTATTTGCACTATGAGAAATTAATTTATTCGCATACAATAAATAAATGAAGGATTATTAAAATACTATGTAATTATTTTCAAAATAAAAATCAGGAAACTATCTATGGCAATGAGTGAACTTATTATATTTTTATTTGTGATGTAAACAATAAATATTTTTACTAACATTATTACAATAAATATATTTATTTTATAGTGGTTATTTACTAAAAAGTATTTCTAACATACTGTCCTATATTAATTAAGAAGTCAACTAACACATATGTGCTCTTTATCCCTACCTCCATGATAAACTTCATTAATCAAAAGTATGATAAAAAATATGGTTATAACTGATATACCTATTAATATGAAGGAAGGACTTAACAGGAGTTGGATTAAAGATCTCCTTCCGTGAAGTATGGTATTGAAATTGAAAATTAAGTTAAAACAAGAAAAATCTTATCTATATTTAAAAATATACAAATGTATATTTATAAATAACAGTATATAAAAAAATTTAAAGTTATTATTTTTAAAAAGAAATTTTAATTTATTTTCCAGATAAATGAAAGATGCCGTCCCTCCTTGAGGGTATTGAAGCGAAATATGGCAGGGATTCAGACAGTTCAGAGCTTGATATCCCTATTCTGTATGTCCCAAGGAAGCCCCAGGATTATGTTCCACCTATACTTGTCTTCAATGATTTTGGAATAGATTCAGCTGGAAGTGAAGAAAAGCTAAGGTGCAAATGCCAGAATGTCCAAGAACTCGATCTTGCACAGAATAGCCTTTCACAGTGGGCTGAGGTAATGTTTAATTCCTTATAACTTGAATATACTTCTAATGAAATGGAGGAAATAAATTAATTTATGTTTAAAGTGTATAAGTAGAATAGGATCTCTCCGTATATGGGGCAGGGATGGCCGAGCGGGCTAGCACCACGCGTTTCCTGGCAACCCGGATAGAAGATTATGAGATAAAACAATACCGAGTTCACGTCCTGGTGCCAAGGGAGTCTTTTTACTCTGGCATTAATCCCCCTCCCCCAACCCACTGGCCCGGGAAAACCCCTGTATAGCCTAAAAAGAGAGGACGAAAAAAGAAAAACAAAAGTAGAATATGATCTTTCATTAAAATTTAAATAATAATCTAAAACTTTTCTGACACTATGATACACTTCTTATTTGATGAATTAATCCCTGAGGTGGATTGTTTATCCTGTTTGTAATGTGTCAACAACTATATCTGTTAACTCTTGTTGAAACTAGTTTAGTATTGTGTTTGCTATTGCACTGTGAATATGAAAGAAAACATCATTCATTATCAGCATATTTTGTTGTATTATTTTAAAAAAGGTAAGTGTGCTGCAGAAGCTCTTAGAAAAATTTGCAGTGTTTATGGGAATGATGCCTTAACCGTACACACCTGTCAAAATTGGTTTGCTAAATTTCATCCAGGAAATTTTTACATCAATGATGCTCAATGATCTGGTCACCCACATGAAATTGAAACGAGTAATGTTATGGCCATTATTGATCAAAATCCCACTCCATCAGTGCGAGAGATTGCTATGGCCCTAAATGTGTCGTACACAAGTGTAGAAAACCATTTGCACAAGCTCGGCTATGTTTCCAGGCTTAATGTTAGTGTTCCACCAAGACAACGCTAGGCCCCACTCCTCATTGGTCACTCGTAATAAATTATTGAGCCTTGGATGGAACCTTTTGCCCCACCCTCCCTATTCACCAGACCTACTTCCAAGTGACTACCACTTATTCCAGTCTCTGCAGAACTCCATGAATGGAAAGAAATTACAAAGGAAGAGAACATCAAAAACCATTTGGATCAGTTTTTTAACAATAAACTCCAGACATTCTATGAACATGGCATTATGCAGTTAGTGGGAAGATGGGAAAAAGTCCTATTAAATAATGGTCAATATATTGTAGATTAAAATGAATTTTATGTCTATAATACATTGAGTTTTATTCAACCCTGAAAAACCGAAAAGATTTATTTGCCAACTCAATAGATCTGCTATCTGGCTTTCCATCGCTATGACATATTTTAACTGTTCTCATGTCACATTTTATTACATATTAAATTCATTAAAATGATAAAAAACAATATTACCACATTATTGACACATGTGGGTTCATAAAGAAATAACTTTCTGTTGATAAGAAAAACCTCATAAATATATCCTGATCTATCAATCGAGATGAATTATACCATATGGCTCAAAGTTTTGATTACTATTTATTTTATTTTTGCAAATATTTTTAAAGCTTGAAAACTTACTATGTAATCAAACATATATTTTTGATAATTTATTGAAACTCTTCTATTATTTTGTCAGATTTTAATTTTTGTTTGAAATAAAATATAATGAATTATTTCTTGTTTTGAACATATTCAGGTAATGACTATTCTTCGAATAATGCCTCGTCTGCAATTTGTCAATCTCAGCTTCAATTCATTAAGTCAAGCTTTAACAGACGAGCTTCTTCTGTCTGATTGTTTTCCGAGACTGAAAAACCTTATCCTTAATGGAACTTACATTGATTGGCCTAGTGTGAGAAAACTTCTTACATACTTGCCCAAGTAAGATATGTAGTAATAGACAGTCATAAATTATTTTTGAAGGTAATTATAGTAATCTTTAGCTTTGAAGTGTTTTAAAAAGAAATTTTGATTTTATCAAATCTATTCAGAGTAATAGAACTGTTATTTATAAAAAAAATTGAATTATTTATTTTTTAAAAAATAATTCTTTAAGTTATTTAAATACTATAAAGTTAAGATCATTGTTTTAAACAATAATGAAAAACTATTGTCATATTTTTCAGTCTTGAAGAACTCCATCTAAGCCTAAATGGTTATAGTTATGTTGAACTAGAAGAACTAGAAGATGGAGTCAGTGGTATTCATCCAGGTGTTAAAAGCTTATACTTCACAGGTACCTAATTTTTAATTGAAGTAATCAAGTGGACATTTTTATGAAAATACTATAATTATATTTAAAATAGTGTAAATTATTACTCTAGAGTTTATTATTTTGAAAAAGTTAAATTTCCCCAACCAAAATAGATTTTTTTTTTTTTTTTAAAGCTTTGGTGTAATGATTCTAAAATACTTTATATTCTTCAATTATTTCATATATGGCCAATTAATGGAAATACGAAACCTCTAATCGGCTGCCAACAAAATGTTAAATGGTAATATCAAGTTCTGAGGATAATCCTGCAGAATTTATGATGGATGCCAAATCTATAAAAAAAAGTAAATTGGGTCAGCAGTATTGGAGAAAAACAGTAGACAACTCTATTTTTTATATTGATTATAAAAATTTTAGTTTTTTCACTACCTTCATAAATAGATAAGATAGATATAAGCGCATGAAAAACTCGAATAGACTGCCATTTTAAAGCAATATGGTGCATAGTAATATAGAGTTAAACTGTGAATTATATTTCTAATAAAAATAAAATTGGCTGAGTAATCTCAGAGAAAAGCTCTGGATAACATACAAATTATGGTCGATGGAAGATTTTTTTATTTGATTTTTCATTTCCACCTATATCACACTATATCTATACAAAAACACAAATTCTCAAATTTTGAGAAAAGGTTAATTTTTTCTTGGTTGATTACATAGGTTCATTACTAAAAATAATAAACAAAAAATGAATGATTTAATCAATATTCTTAATCATTTTAAATTAGGATTTGCGAAAATCTCTGGATTTAAAAATGTATAAAAAAAAATTTATTATAATGCAAAAAAATTAATTAAACTGTGTTTCATCATGATTAATGCTCAAATAATAGTATTTCATTCTTCCATGGTGTCATTTATAGTGTTTTTTATAACAACGAATAAACAACTCTTATATTCTGATCTTTGTTGGTTTATTATTTTAAATAATGAACCTTTTTTATTTAGCAAAACAACAATTTGATGTTTTACATTAGTTTGTAAAGATGATTGAAACTCTCATTTTTTAGCCCTTGTATTTTTAACTACTTTACAATTCATTCATGATGTTTCTAGTACATGTGCCCCATATTCAGGACCTTAAACACCATTGAACTATTTATCTGTACCCATGTCCTCATCAGTCATTCTGTATCTATTGCATCATTGTTGCCATATTATTTTTTTTAAATTCTAGAGAAAAAAGAAAAGAGAAAATCCTCAGGAGTTATGAATATTTCAGTAAACGGCATGAAAAAAAAAAATCCCCATGTAAAATTTTTTGGTTTCAAAACAAACTCATATTTAATATATACACTAAAAAATACATGAACACTAAAAAAGAAACAGAATCATTATTTTATGACAAATATTTACTTGTCGTACTTTACTGGAAGCATCTTTGGGTTATTCTAATTTATTATACTTTATAACTTAGATGGCCGTGAGGCAACCCTGGGTCGGGAGACCCTCCTGGGGCTGGGGCAAACCCAGCCTCTATAAAGTGGGTACCCTTAATTAAATAATTAATTAATGGGGAAAATCTGGTGGTTAAGAGTGATCTCGGTAAAATCACCTCCTTGCAAAACTATTGACCTAAAAACAGTGCTCTCCCTAAATAGTACTGAGCCCAAGACCATTCATGGGTTGTAGTGGTACAGGTTTTTTTTATTTTTTTTTTATTTGGAGTATAATACCGACCTAGTATCACCAAAAAAAGTTTTATTTAAATCAGTGACCCTATGTCCGTAACCTCCCCTTGTAAGCAGGGTTTGAAATCGATAATTAAAAATTAAAACCAAAATTTTTAAAAATCATTAGATGATTTTTATTAAGAGCGGTTTTTAATTTTGACCAGTTATGACTTTAATTTAATTATTTTTGAACATTTTTTTTTATAATTAATAATAATAATTGGAGCAGTATTTTTTAAATCAGAAATATAAATTTTTTGTAATCTCTGATATATTTTGAGTCTGGAGTAGTAGCTGGCGAATATTGTTGTCACATATTAGCAACAGAACATCTTTATTTCCGAAATTCATTAGAAATTTTGTCTAACAAAACAATACATATATAAAATGATCATGATAAAATGATTATTAAAAAAAAATCATTAATAAAATGTGTATTATATGTTTATAGTGTAGGCAATTATGTTTATTGTAATACATCCCAGATCTTGGAAAAACAAGAATTAAAAGCTTTGCAACAATTAATTGGAGTAATGTTTGTTCAAAACACGGATACTTTTAGGTGACAGGATAGGTATCACATCATTTTTTTTACACAGCCTGAGGTGAATCTTAATTTAATTAATATATAATTAAACTTTATTAAACGAGGTAATTTTTCTATAAGTTGAGTAACTGTAGTATAGTTGGATGATAAAAAAAAAACATCGCGAATAATTTATGATTTTTTTAAACATGCAACTTAGCTTTGTTTAGCTGCTCAAAAGTCCTCTTTAACTAGTTTCAATAACGACAAACTCCATTTTAATTTTAATTTAATTTTGTCTAGTTTACAGTGAAGCAATTGTTAATTACTTAAACTAAATATTTCTTTAGTTATCGCTTCCTATTCAATGAAAAACATGACCTACTTAAAAAACCACAATACTTGGATTTACTACTTTTCTATAGAAAATTGGCCCATTATTTATATGAACTTTTTTGTAGCCCATGAGGTCTGCTATCACTCCTATAAAAATTCATTCACACCATATGTACACTAAATAAAAAGAAATCAAATAGTTATTTGGCAATGATTACTTCCAATTAGCAACAATTGAATATATTTGTTGTATTATCAAAATTGCATGTTTGCAAGTTTACGTTTAGGGCTATTTACTCCCATCTTCAGAACCACAATTCCAATGATCCAAGGCTTAAAAGTAATCATTGCCAAATAACTATGAATATTATACAACTTCCCAGAAAAAAGAAGAAATCAAATACAACAACAGCAAAATAATAATACTAAAAATGATGTGTATATAATTTTTTTTAAGGTTTATACATATAAGGTCTCTATACTTAAGGAATATCCTGTTTAATATTTCTACAATAGCTGTAATATATATATTTTTGAATCATGATTTAAATGAATTAAATCTTTACGAATTTTATGGATTTATTGGAATATTTTCAGAAAGTAAATAGTGAAAAAAAATCATAAAACTTTATCCACCACCCTTCGACGAATCCCAGGCATTTCCTAGAAATCAACTGTCAGCTGTTGCCTCCATAATTTAATTAAAGTGTTTTCTTCGTGTTCATAAACATATAATTAAATTTGATATATTCACTACTGATATTAATTAAGTTCTTTATTTATTTTTTTAAGTGGTTATGTAAATGTTATAATTTATTATTGTGTTATAATTCTATCGCGTTCAAATTACATAACTTGTGTATTTTAATTAAATGCTATAATAATTATTTGTCTCGTGCTCATAATATATATAGTATATACATACTTGCAGGTACCACATGCACAACTAAAGCGATTTCAGAAATATAATATTAAAAAATATGTACATTAATAACGTATACATAAATATTAATATTTTATTTAATTTGTTTGTAAAAGGTGGTTTTTATTTTCTGATCAAAATCTGTTTGATTACCATGTAGTCATTATTATTTATGTAAAACCACATCACTCAACAACTGATCATTATTTTTATTTGAATCAATAAACATCAAAGATCGATTTAAATTTGTATTTATAAATTAGAAATGATTTTTAAATTTAAAATCAAATACAATTATTATTACATGATTTTGTGCAAAAAATGATTATCGATTTCAAACCCTGCTTGTAGGTATTTAGACCTAAAATATTTGCTGTTTCCCATTTACAATAAAAAATTGTTGTACTTTGCATGTTTTAAATATTATCACTCCTTATCAAATAATTATATTTTATATTACTTTTTTACTCTCCATAATCAATTGAGGTTAAATAATTCAAATCTTGCTAATAATGATTCTGCAAAAGAAATATCAAATCTTTCATTATCAGTTGGCTTCAAAATCCTCTTTATCAGTTGGCTTCAAATAGAATTTATGATTGACAAGAAATAAAGTCTCTTCCAAGATAGTTCTCATAGTCAGTAATGGATTCCAGATTTAATTTTGGGATTCTTAGATTTCTTTTTCTTTTTTTAACTATGTAAAAAATAATAATAATAAAGTGGCTCTTGAAGGATTTAAAAAAAAAAATTGTATTTACAGGTATAATGCTGCTTTAGGGATCAATTTTATATTTATTTTTTTCTAGACAGGTGCTAACAAACATTTCATCATAACTTATTTTGAGAACATCATATGTTAATAATGTTAAAAACATTGCCCATTATTTCTAATTATTATCGATATTAGTTTAATATTTCTACTGTATATTTAAACAAATAATATTTCTATTTGTGTTACTTTACAGATAATACTATAAGCTCCTGGCGGGAAGTGTGTAAACTAGGAATAGCCTTTCCGAACCTACATTCCCTTATTCTTGCAGATTGCCCTATCAATAACCTAGATGTTACAAGTCCTGATTCAACACCTGAACGACAGTATTCTCGTACAGAATCAGAATGTGAATCTGCTTCTAGTTCTACTATATCTCCACACCACACATTTCGAAACCTTAAGTTTCTCAACCTCAACAATACCCTCCTGTCATCGTGGGAAGACATTGACAGGCTAGCGTGTTTTCCAAATTTAGCACATTTGAGAATTCATGGCCTTCCTCTCTTTGAGGTAATAATTACTAATAAGTTAATGAAAAAAATTATATCATGATTTAATATTCTAATAAAATATACATTTCATAATAGAAAATTTATGAATTATAAATTCTTATAAAACTGTATAGTCGTATCTGTCTTATATGTTTAAATTAGACAAAACAAATTAAGATTTTTTGTTTTGTTGATCAAAAGCTTTTTGTTGGGTAAGCCATATTGTAAGAAGAAACATCGTAAGTTGCTTCATCAACTAAAAATATTTTGATCCCCTCTCAATTTACAAAGCTTTAGAATATTTTATTCAATAATATAATAGTCCCATACATTTTTTATTTTCACTAATCTACATATGTAATATATAGTTAGGAAAAGTATTGCGATTGTGAAAAATTTAGAATCTGAGTTTTCAACAGAAATACAAATTCTGAGGTCCCATGAGTTCTAATAACCAATACTGACAAAATGGTTCTCTGAGTGCATGTGAACGACCTAGCTTAAAAACGAAAAGTTGCACAAAACTGAAATTACAGATTTAAGGTAGCTATATGCCTGCAAAGGGATTAAATTTCAAAATTTCTTCCTCTAAAGTACCTTTATTTTGATTTATTTTAAATGATTAAATATCTCTCATTTTTGATAGGAGTATAAAAAAAACTCATTATAAACTATTAAAGAATTTGATAATTGACTAAAGGAAAAATGCTTGTTCAGGTAGAAAATGAATTTCCGTAAATAATATTCTGAATTTATTTGTATAATATGTCATAGGAAAGCTAAGAATGGCAGAAAAAATATTATCACAAAAAATTTTTGATAAAATTTCTAAAACTAATATTATTTTAAGGGAATCAAATGTTTAATGGAAACAAAATTAAATTTCCTTACTAAATGTAAATTTTTAAGTTTTAAAAATAAGTATATATATAATTCACCATATCGAGGCAATGAAATTGTTAAAAAATATATTTTGTTATAATTGTGTCAAAGAATAAGTAGAATATAAAAATAAATCATGGATGAGTAGAACATTTGTTTGTAACCAAAAATACGTTTACTGTAGTTTAATAACTTGAGATCCAATTATATATTTAAATGGTTAGGTATGTATTGGTAGTTTATTAAAAAAAAAAATTAAGTATCATTTTAGAAAATTAAATCAGTTTATAATTGGATCAATTAATTCCCTCTGTGAAATCAAAACATTATCCATTATGGACATTGTAATTATCAACATTATGGAGATGAAAGATTTATAGATGAAAAATAAACATTAATAAAATCTCCTTGGAATGTTTAATAATTAATCTCATACAATACACAAAATAAAACATATCAATACCAGGTGTGTAAATTTGAAACTTGGATTGTCTGTATAGAAAATACATATTGATTACATAAAAATGTTAGAAAATACTTCCTTTAAAATATTGTCCATTGCTAACTATAGATTTTCACCTTCTCTCTGGCTATTTATAAATACCATTCCAGAAAAACTGTTGATTTTTTGTAGTGGACCATTCATCAAGCCACTTTCATATATTTTCGTATGAAGTGAAGTGCTGCTGAGCAAGTATATGTGCTAATATTTCCCAACTGAATGCCTCAATCTTTTCTGTCATTGGTTTTGCTGTGTGTGATGGTGCATTATTATGGGGCAAAATCACTTTTGTTGTGTTTTTTGATAGTCTGGTAGCTTTTAATGCAATACTCACAGTCACAATTTGGAGGATCAACTTTTGTATTTTGCGAGTAGTATTTTGGAGGTTGTTTTCAGATTTTCTTGCTGTTCTTTACTGAGTTCATGTGGAATCCATTTTTCCATCTAATGGATCTTTCCTGTGGTTTCCAAACATACAGAAACAGTTTTTCATCTTATATTAAATTGATTCATGAGTTGTTGTTTGGTTTGAGTGTTTTGAAAAAATAATATCACTATCTAAATATGCTTCATTATTGAAATTAACTGCCTTTAAACTTTTTTGGTGATCTTCCACGTTCTCCATTTGAAATTTCAAAGTAAAAATTGCCACTTTTAAATATTTTAAACTACTCAAAGCATTGTGATTTGCAAAGAGCATGCTTTACATAAGCTTCAACAAGCATTTGATCCAATTCTACAGCAGTTTTCTTTAAATGACAACAGAAAATTAATACTGTCCCTAAATCTTGGTTTTAAGCCACAAAACTAGACCTGTTCAATCAAAAATATTAAAACGATGCTGTTATATGAAACTTGTATTTTGTGAGTTGAAAACCTTTGCCAACTGTTTAAGAAACAAAATGGTTCTAATGTTGGGGTTTAACAGTAACTACATAAACAACTAGAACCATCTATGGACGAATTCCGGTCTTATATGTACATACCTGATAAGATGTTTAATAAAATACAGCTTTAAAAATAGGGATCTAAACAAGTTGTACAAACATATTCATACCTTGAATATTGACTGTTTTTTTTTTCTACTTCTATTTCTGATAATTAAACTAAGATTTACAATACCACATAGATTGGTTAAATTAATGCTGAGACTTACAAAATACTAAGATTCAAAGTTGTATGAGTTCAACTTCCAGCTGGATAATGCTGTGATTTACATTTTGGGGAACCCAAGTAATGAAATTAGCAAGTCACTCTTGTTAAAAAATGTACTAATAAAATAAGACAGTCATCAATGAATTATCATCATCCCTTTCTATGGCTTTCATTAAAATTTGTACTTAAACTATTCTGGTCATTCTATAGCACAAACGAAATAATTTTTAAAAAATATTATGGTAAAATACCTTTTTGAAAAACAACACTCACTCATACAAAAACATATGTATTTTTTCTTTTTTTTAAATTGATTATTTGCAAATCTTTTAGTTTATGAAATGTAAATTTGTGAATTTTTTGCTGATACTTGAATAGTTTGGAAAATATGAATAGAGTTTTAAAAAAAAGTTAATAATAATTGGAGTTAACTGGTAGTTAAGGAAACCTGTGACACTGACTTTTCAACACAGTATTTTTTTGTTGCTTACTATTTCCTTTTATACCTTGATTTTTAATCCTAGAGTATCACAAATATTATATATATTCTTCTTGGTGATTGTTGAAACTTGTTAATAATTGATAATTTCCTAAGACGTTCATTATTTTTATTTTAATAAAGTTTTATGTCCTGTCCTAATTCTTCATTAATTACTCTATCCTAATTCTCCACTGATTACCCTATTATAATATTCATTGTTTCATTCAATACTAACCAACCTAAGAGATTTGATATAAATATTTTGTCAGCACCAGATTTAACAAAATTAATGGTATAGAAATCACATATATACTTCTATAACTACCAAAAATAAAAAATATTATGGTAACTAGTTCAACATATGTATTCAACTTTAAAATACTTTTCACATTTTACAATAAAATATTGCTATTGCGTTATTAAGTTTATAGATAAAAAATAATTATTTTACTAATTATTGATTATCCAAAGCATTAACCAGTATGCTTTGTATCTAGCAACCCAATATAATTTATTCTGTGGTACAGACCCCTTTTTATCGATTTATTAACACCCGCCTGAAACTTCATTAATAGTTTCATCTCATCGTAACCTACAACTATTTTATTTAGGAAAACTCTTGGAATTGGGGCGTTTTCAATCTGGAGGGAGGCAAATTTTGTCTATTTGATTAGATACTAAAAACTCATAAATACTCATTTGATTTCTACTTTGTTCGTAAGATAATTTGATCACAAAATCGAGAAAAAATGTGGCCTTCAAAAATATTAAGCCGTTTGGCATAACCTACACGCCCAAATTTCCAAAATAATGATGTTATATAGGAAAAATGTTTGGAGATGAAACTATTTACGAAGTTTCAGGCGGATGTTAATAATTTGATAAAACGGGATCTTTACCACGGACTAATTGGGCAGCATGCTTATATATGAAAATAAAGTGTTTCTCTGTCTTAGGATATAGAAAAACTTGTATTTAATCTATTTTGTTTAATCTAATTTTCAGCTTTAGAATTGAATAGTTTTTACTAATTATTCTGGGTTTTTTTCTTCAGGAGAGTATAATTTATCATATCCTAATATTTTATCCTTACTATCCAGTCTCTCAATAGTTAGCACAAAATAGCAGATATTAGATAAATATATTTTGCTATACAAAAAAGGCAGAATAATACTTATGAAATTATAATTTAGTATATTTTAGATAAAGGTACATTTACTAATTTATACTTTGTGTTTCTAATTTACAAAAGAAAGTTAAAAATAACACTTAATAATTCTTGTAATAAATATTCATCTATTTTTAAGTATCTTATCATTTCTTGGATTTACATAATTTTAATGATTTATTTAAATTCATCAATAATGAATAAAATGAACCTATGTTCTATGTTTAAGTATCCACAAGAGTATACAAAGCACGAAAGAAGGCAACTATTAATAGCAAGATTGCCAAATATTAGGACTTTGAATGGTGGTGGAGAAATAGGTGTTGATGATCGTGAAGATGCAGAAAGGGCATTTATCAGGCATTATATGGATAAACCAGAAAGTGACCGCCCAGAAAGGTTTGTAATAAATAACATGTGATGAAAACAAAATTTATTAAGCAAACAAAACTTGTAAAAGTTTTAGAGACAATTTTATTTATCTACATATTCATAAAAAGCTCAACAACCTATTTAGTGAGTCTGGGCTTCCTACAAAAGCCTCCAACCGACAGCTCAATCATGAACTACATCAGTCTGATTTCTGCTATTTAGTAGAACCCTCACACCATTGAGCATGTCATCCAGCAACCTTACATTGAGTATTTCAACTTTAACAGTTCTTCGGAGTTTCTCAACCTATGAATCTTTTACAATATTTCTGGCCTAGTGAAGCCATATTATTTTAATAATTCAAATAGTATTTGCGCATTATGTCTAGCAATGATTCCTTTTAAATTATCTCTTCTTAGAATTCTGAATATCCCCTTATGATAGTCTATAATTGCTATTTGAAAAGCTAGAACTTCATTAATTACCCCCAAAAAAATTTGAGTGGGCTGTCAAAAGTGTCCAAATGCTTCAAAAGAACTAAAACGGTGATGTTTTACAGGCAAAGGGATTTGATGGTAGAGATTTTTAAGATCTAAAGAGCTAGATTAATTATTGCTCTTAACTTTATTTATTACATCATCAATCCTGAACAGGTGAAAGGCATCTAAGTTGGTAAACTTATTGGTAGTCTCTGAGGAATCAACTACGATTTTCTATACAATCGCCAATAGTTGAATCCATCATGGAGTCTTGCTTTCTTTGATTATTCCATCTTCTAATAACAGTTAAATTTCATGCTCAATGAATACTGGGTCTAACTCAGAGTGTTGTCGAGATTTCATGATGAGCTTATAATTAGACGTGAGATGGGTGATCCAACTTAGCTGGTTCTACATTAAGATCTAACAGCGGTTAGATTAGATACCATTATTAATGGTACTTTTTTACCTTCATCTCAAAATCTATATAATCTCTCATTATTATGTACATAAGTTGGTAGAACCTTGAAAACTGTATCTTTATAAAAATAATCTTGAAAAGTCTACTGTGTTCTATTCATTTGGTATTACATCATTCATAGCAAAACACATTTATTTAGTTCCAAAGTGACTAAGTTTATTTATGTTTTAATGAGTAATTGTGGAAATACAACTTCTTTTTGCTGGTATTAGGAATATCATAACTTTCAAATAATTTTATTTTTTAAAAAACAGACACACTACCGTATAAAAGAATGAGTTGAATTTTTTTTTTATTGTATGTCAAAATCATGCAGAGATAAGTGAAAAAGGAATAAAATGTATAAAAATAAATAGTAAGGAGGATGTACATTATGATGATGGAGATAAGTCACTGAAACGTTAATATTGTTATTTTACAATTATAGATTATACAAACAATTTATATATCACCCTGTTGCAAACCTAGTTTAACAACATTCTATCTAATTTAACCTTAATTTAAAGGTTTAAAAATTATTATAGTAATACTACTTTAGTTATTATTAAAATTCATCAATTTTGTCTAGGGAGTGGGGTAGCTCAGTGGTAGGGAACTGAGCATCCAATGCTAAAGGTCCCAGGTCCGAATCCTGCTCACGGCTCTATAAAGCCCAGCCTTTATAAAGTGGGTACCCTTAATTAAAATAATTAATTAAGGGGAAATATCCAGAGGTTGAGCATGATCTCAGTCAAATCACCTTCTTGCATGACTGTTGACCAAGAAACAATGCTTTTCCTAAATAGTACTGAACCCAAGACCCTTCATGGGTTGTAGTGGTACAGGTTTTTTTTTTTTTTTTTCAGGTTTCAATTTTGTTTACATTGTAATAATTTAACTATTGAAAATGGTTTAATATAATACTTAAACATATTAAAAATACTCTGACTTAATATAAAATATGTCGAAATGCAATTAAAATATTTTCACAGGCAAAATGAGTGAAAGTTAACTAGATGTAAGTGAAGGGTTACAACTTATTGAAATAAAAAACATATTGAATCTTAAAGGAGAGTCAGAAGTACCATTAATCTCATTTTTGCCAAAAATGTTACTAAAACTTTTGTGAAACCAATGTAGTGAATTATCTAGAAATAATTGTGATCTTTATCCAAATAAATAAAATACATGAAAATTTAAAAAAAACAAAACATATTTCATTACACCCTTAACTTTTCAGGATCTTTTCTCCATCATCAGAATGATAAAATTCTTTAATTTGCCTTCAGGTCAGCTATGATAATGAATACACTTAAAATAGTCATTTTTATACAAATATTTTTTTTAACTTTATAAAATCTAATAATTAAAATTTTTAAAGACAAAATTTTAGATGAATTAATTAGACATTTTAAAAAATGTACATTGATTTTATAAAGAATATTCTTGTAGTTCTAATGATGGCAAAAAGTTCCCGAATTATTATGCAATTTGATTTTCTTTTTCAAAAATAAAACCATATTATGGAAGTTGTATTTTCACAATTACTTATTGCCTGAAAACTTCCTCTAGAATTATGAAATTAAGAAATTCATGTATATTTTTTAACTACAGATAAAATTACAAAAAATAAGATAAATATATCAATATTTTACTTTACTTACAGGTATTCCGATTTAGTAGCGGTTCATGGTCGTCTAGATCCTCTTGTCAATATTGATCTTTCTCCTGAAAGAAAAGTGAAAGTGAACATTGTTTATGGATCCAAGTCTGAAATCAGGTGTCTTGATGTTTACCAAACAGTTAATGAACTCAAGCAGAAACTTGAGAGTTTTTCAAACATTTCTGCAGCAAAAATGAAATTATTTTATGTTGATCAAGAACTGAAAGTAATCCATGGGCCTGAGGAAATGAGATTCCCAAATAAACAACTTTACAGTTATAATATTAACTTCGGAGATGAAATTATAGTTGATTCTAAAATTTAGAATTTTTTACACAAAGAGTTATTACTTGTAAACTCCATTAGAAAATGTATAATTATTTTAGTATATTGTACTTATGTGTGTAAATATGTATGTTAATTAATACAGAACATAAAATCAATACATTGTTTTATATGGTCTATGAATCTTAAAAAATAAATTAGCTTTAGTAAGTTCATGAAGAATTATCTCATGAAATGGAGAATTGAAATTCAAAATAATTCAACCACAAACAATATGAAAACCACTCCATTCATGAGCTAAGCCTAGGAACATTAAAAGGGATATAAATGCCACAGGATAATAGTGCATATTTTTCAGGTTTATGCAGGTCCTTTTGGATATTGCAAGACCCTGTTCATAAACCACTTTGTATGACTAACTCAATATTTTTTTTTTATGGAATATGTATTATTTTGAATTTCAAGACTTCTATTATTAGCAATTTATTAATGTTTGACTAAAACTAGTAGTTTATTCAACAGGTCAAAAATATTTAACTACATTGCATTGTTGATTCAAAGAACATGTAATGATAAATGGAATTTTGAATTTTTTGTTCCTATTTCTCTTCATATAACTATATTTGTATGGTTATATTACCTCACTGACCATCCAAATTTTACAGAATGTGGTTATAAGAAACAATCAAATTGTATTTAATAAATGAAGCATTAAACTTGTTTTATTTCAAATACGAAGACATTTTATTTTCAAAATTACTAAATTTTATTTTAATTACTTGGAAAAACCCAATGGTTGAGGATGAATGCTGACCTCATCATCTCCTTATTACTGTTAATCATAAAATACTATTTTCAAATCAAGTATTAAACCTAACACTCTCCCTAGGTAGTAGTGGTTTTGTATCTCCCCTTTTGTTTTTATTTTATTATTTATTTTAAAATAAAACAATAACCTATAATATATGCTGCCTTCTCTCAAATCTATCAAGACTTTATCAACTGTGTTCACAAGACCTGCATAATAAAGTATTTGTTGAATAAGGGTTTTTTAAGTCTTTCAGTTTAATTTAAGATTAACTCTAAATATGTAAATATTAGTATTGTAGAACTTAGTATTACGTCATATGCTGTTATTAATATTTATTGTTATGAATTTAACATATTCATAGTTTTAGAAAAAAAAAATGTTAATATGTTGGATTGTTTTGGCTATCTTTACAAAAAATGTTTGTATGGTTACCATACCATATTTAAAAGTATCTTAATATAAATTGATATTTCAATTACAAATTTAATTTATCTATTTACTTCTCTTAATAAAATGACCATTAAATTTCAATAAAATGTTTTTTTTTTAAAGCTATACCCAATGTGATAATTTTTATTTTATTGTTACTAACTACAATTGTGATGTTTAAGTGAACACAACTGTTTACAAAAACAGGTGTTTTTATCAAAACACTTCATGTCTAGTCTTTAAAGGCTTATGGCATAAGTTCCATTTTATATTTCTAAGTACTAGCTTGTATCACTATTAATTTGTTTCCTTTGCACAAAGTAAATTTTTATCTATAAAGGACTGTAATCATGCCTTTGATATGGAAAAAAAAGATGTATTTATTTTTAGGAATGTAAAAGGCAAAATCTTGTAAACTTTGGATAACTGAAATATATTTTTTTTGTGAAACTGACTTTTTTTTCTTTTAAAACCTTTAAAAGCTTATGGCGTAAGTTCCATTTCATCCTTTGAAGTACTTATATCACTATTAATTTGTTTTCTTTTCACAAAGTATATTTTTACCTATATGTGAAAAAATATGTTTTTAGATGTAGAAATCCAAATGGCAAAATGTTGTAAATTTTGAATAACTGAAATATATATATATATATATATATATATATATATATATATATATATATATATATATATATATATATATATTATATGTTTTTTTTTTTTTTTTTTTTTAAACTGGTTCTTTTTCTTTTTAAAACCTTATTTCTGCATGTTTAATGAATTTAGTCTTTCTATGGCCTAAAAAAAGAATATAATTTTTTCTATAAACAATTCCAAAGTAGGTAATGAACAGAGGGTAAAATTTTACCAGAATAGGTAAGTATGAAGTAGGAAGTGTGCTGAGGAAATGATGTATGATTGAACATAATTATATCATAAATGTCACTCCACAAAAACAATTGTGTTTCTGTAATATTTAATTCAATGAAGTTTTCTTAACACATGGAAAATATCAAATAATCCAACTTTATACACAACAAAACAAATATAGGTTTAAGTGTTAATAAACTTGAAAATAAAAGTTTGAAGGCAATAATTGTGTTTGATATATAATAGAATTAGTGTATTAAGAATATAACAAAATATACAGAAGAATTGGGAGACATACCAACAAGGTAAATTTTATTAGCTGTTTAAAAAGTAACAACTTGAAAACAACCAAAAGCATTAGTATGGATAAAAACTAACCTTTTGATACTTCTAGTAATGAAAATATTTATAATGAGAATTTTAACTATTCGAAAATAAAGTGCGGGAATCTTTGAATTACAACTACCCCCATCAGATTGATCGTATTAAATATATATATGTTAATGAAAGATTTAGTTTAATAATAACATGTGTTCATGGGGTGAGATATGTAAATTAATTTTAATTTATAGTTGAATTCACGTTTAAATAAGCTAAAAAAACTAATAAAAATTAAAAGTAAGAGTTTTGACAAGTACTTATGGTTCGTTATCGTAATGTTTCAATCATGGTTCCTATTCCCTCCGCTATGGCCTCTTTGAATAGTGTGTATATTTTGTGCAGTGGAGTCAGCGAAACGATGTCGCTGGGTGTACTTTATTTAGATAAAACCTGAAGGATTTAGGACATGAGGTTAGTTTTAAACTATAATGTAAATTATCTGTGTTTATTGCCTCTCGTACCGATTCAAGATTTTTTGGTGCTACATTTGTGTAAGTGTATTTAATGCTTTTGGGAACCTGGACAGGTTCCTTAAACCATGTGAATCGAATTACTGTATTCCAAAGCTTAGCTCATAAAACTTTTGATTGCATTTATTATTTATTCGTAAATAATGTATAAAATTGTTCCTAGTTTGATTATGTTTTGTGATATTACCTACCCAATGTAAACAAACATTGATGGTTATAACCTTATCAGTAGGTTGGTATCTTATTTTTATATTTTGAGACAATAGTGATAAGAAATATGTTATTTCATGTAGACAAATGGAATCAATTGAAATGGAGAATTGGGACGAAAATTGGAGCTCTTCTGAATCAGAAGAGACAGGCTCTTCTTTTTCTTACTCCGAAGAATCAAGCACAAACACTCCACTGGGAATGGAAGCTGTTAGAGTTGGAGGAGAAAGTTTTTTACTACCTCAGGGATTATGTGACAATGCTGATGTTTTTAAAGAATTTTTTTCTCTCGACCTTTGGCAAAGTTTTTCAGAACAACAGAGGCAACATTTGAAGGTATTGACATTCAAATTTTTAAAATTTAGTTGCTTGATGTTTTTAATTTACCAATTTATTTTTTTCATTGAAGAATTTCCTCCCGTCATTTCCGGAAAACGATTCTGAAGAAAAAGATGCAACACTAAGTATGCTATTTAATCGTGAAAATATTAGATTTGGAAATCCATTGGTTGAATTTCAAAAACAATTACGGGCTGCTTACTTCAGACCTGACTTAAGCAGAATGCGGACTCTACTTAGGAAAGCACAATATAAAGATTATAAGTAAGTGTAGTTATTAGCCAACCGTGTTTATTGTTTTTATTGGTATATAGCATAATAATAATTAAGAATTTTATGAATTTAATTATTTGAAAAACATTTTCATATGTTACACATTTTCAGTCATAATTAACCATTTCTTTGATATGTAGGCGTTCAGAACGATGGCGGATGTATGATCTTATGAAATCAGTATTAGCTTCCAGGCAACATTTAGTTGATGCGGTCATTAATGGTGAAAGACCCAAAGTTTTTACTTCAACACCTAAAAAATCTAGTGTTTCCCTTTCCCCAAATGTTAAAAGTAGGTATTTTCAAGAACTTGCATTAATCAAAGAAGAAATTGGTGAATCTAGTGAAAGTTCGGAGGATGAAAACTATCCAGGTAATGTTAACATAATAATATTACTATTGAGTATGTTTTAAATTAAAATGATCATTTAACTTAATTAATGATAATTTTTTTCTACTAATTATTATTATTATTATTTTTTTTTTTTTTTATCGATGCCTATAAATTTTATAACTTTTGTAGAGGGGCCATTGGGTGTTGGGAAAAAACCTAGAAGAAGTATAAATTTGGTAGAACTGGGACTTAATGATGGTATCGAGCCAGTTCTTGGAACACTTTGTACTGGACCTACTCCTTGGGACCAAGGCAAAACCCCTCAATATAATCCTTATTATATTCATGAACAGTCTTATTCCCAGATGTTGGCTGTTCATTCTAAAAGAAGATCTAACCGTGAGGTGCATTAATGTTATATTATGAATTTAATATATTTCAAGTGCAGAAGATTCTGAAATATCTTTTATAGGGCTGAAATACCAATAGTTATAATGTTATTTATATGTACACCCTCCTTTCCTGTAAAGTAAATTTTCTATGAAAAATCAAATCAGTTAAATAAAATAATTATCGGGAGAAATCATTATGATTTCTGTTTAAATGCTTGTCTTTAAGTAAAACAAATATATATATTTTTGTTTTTTTTTAAACAGGAACATCCGGACTTACAAGTTGATGGTATTACTCTTCATGATATTGCTCAAAGGTGTAGTAAATTTTTAAAGAAATCGACTAGTTCCAAACCGATTATTTCTAAAAAAAATAAACTAAAATTGAACAGAACTGCTTCAATATCAAGTCCTATGGTAATTTTTTTTTTTTTTTAAGGCTTTTATTTCATTATTATAATTTTTTAAAATCAAATTTATGTTATATGTCTATTTATTTAAATTTTTTGTTTAGTTTGATGACGATTTTGGTGATACAAGTGAAACTGAAGAAACTGGTAGTACTCTCCTCAAGCCAGATTTAGATGATGATGTAGAAAAATTAGTAGACATTGAAGCTGTTGATGAACTTCCTTCATTACCTGTGATAGTGAGACAAAATGCAACTGTTTCTAGTCAAATGTGTGTGATTTAAATATTACTGGTTTACTCTTAAACTTATTAGTATAAAGTTTAAAAAAATGAATAAAAGATAATATCTTGGTTCAAAGGAATGTTTTTGTTATTCGAAGAATTATCTACTTAAACATTCCCATTTTGCCATAAATTCATGTTTAGTTTAAAGTAATTTTGTCTCTAATACATTTTATAATGCTATTGATAAAAACTTTCACATGATTTATTTATATCATTTTTTTTTTATTTAGGATTTATTATGCTTTTTACTTTTCCTTTTTTAAAATATTTTGATTGTGTTTAATATAGTAAATTTTAATGTGATTCTAGATCAACTTCAAAAAACAATAAATCACCAGCATTAAAACGATTTAGGACTGAAAGTCATGACAGTTTAAAGAAAGGTTGTTTGTCAGGTAATGATGAAACTCCTAAGAAAGGAGGCTTAGGAAGTGATAAAAAAACAAAGGTTACTATAATCAAAACAGAAACTGACCTCTCTCCTGAAATTAAGAAAGCTAGAGTGCCTTTGACCCCTGCAACATTGTCTGATCTAGATGGCATTGATATGATGGATTTGCCGGTTGACTTTGATGAATCTTCACCACTTTCATTAGATGAAATAAAGTAAGTAATTTTTGTTACTAATCTTATTAATGAAAATTCTTAATTAATTATTTTTTGACAGCTTAATGGAATATTTTGATGAGAATTGAAGATTTAATCTATTTTTTTTCTAAAAAGTTCATTATCCTATACATTTCAAAACATTAATTTTATTTACAGAAATGTTCTGTGAATAATATTTCAGTACTGCTTGACTGATTTATGTAATTAAATGATGATATTTATTTTGAAAAATCTTATGTAGCATATTGCCATACAGCTATCATCTTCAATTGGGGATAGGTTTCATTAAGATATATAAAGGTATATATTGTCATAAAGCTATAATCTTCAATTGGGAATAGGGATGGATTAAAGGAAGAGCAGCAAAATCAAGCTTGCTCCTGAAAATTCCTAGTTTTAGTCCTGGTCTGATATATCAATATATATGTTGAATTGTTATTTTGACGTATTTGGGAACTATTAATACAATATATAAATAAGTCTCATCAGTCTAAATCTTGTTAATATGGAGCAGCAGTCTCAGGGTAACTGTGGGGAGGAGGAAGCAGAGAGAGAGGTGACCAAAGGCTTTATTGCTGGACTGTTTACCCCAACTAGTACCAGTAACTGATTGATGTTGTTAGGTACCATATTTAAGGATTTCATATATGGATGGCAGACGGTGGTGGGGCCCGCTCACTTCTATATTGGTGCCCGCAGAAGAAGAAGACAAGCGCCAGGAAGACCTCCAGATTCTGGAAGCTATGCCGAAACAAGAAGAAGAAAGAACAGAAGAACTGCACATCATGTTAACTAGTAGTAGTGTGTTATTAAGCATTCATGCCTAATAACACGCTATCGCAAACACCCGTATTGCCATAGTGGCATGGGAGGGTGGAATATATAAATAAATAATAATAATGAACCATATAACTTTAAATGAAAAATATAGTAGCTGAAAGTGAAGTCCTACTTATCTTTTATCAGCAGATGTAATAGTAGGAAACCTGCTCCTTTCCCTGACCCTTTTGTAATTGGTTTTTTACTTTCACTTACCTAAATATGTAATATAGTGTTGTGATGGTGAAAATTTTCGAACTTCAGTTTTCAACAGGAACTCATGTACCCTGGAAGGCTGAAAAACAAAAATTCGTATGAAACTGAAATTACATAACTAAGATAGGTATATGTCTAGGATGTTATAGTAACTTTTTCTTGAAAAACGGCTAATCGGAAGTGCCCTTTTATTAATTTTACACACTTTTAAAAAATTTTCAAAAACTGCTCTTAACAATTTGATTAAAATCATTATATCAGTCTAAAATTAAAAGTAATATCTATTTACAATTTTATGGGGACTGGATGGATGAGAAATGGTTGAACAGGCGGGATTTAAAAGTAGGAGGGGTATTGGATTGACGGATGTGGGAAGGGATGGAATTTCATACAGATGAGGATTATGAATGATTGTTGAAAGCAGTGGTTCAGTGGGCTCTTATGTATAAATCAGAAGACCGAGAACGATCGTTGTGGGAACAAACAGAGGATTTGAATTGAAGGAGCTCGGAGATGTATGAAGGACGGTGGGATTGGATGACTTGTAAGAAGAAGGATGCCAGGAAATATTTACGACAGTTGGAAGGATAAAGCCACTTCAAATCTTCATAAAAACGGGAAACAGAGGCGTCACTTGGGATCCCGATGATGAATCGTACAAAGCAATTTATCAAACGTTTTAGTTTTGCCTCGAGATCCCAGAGACACCCCGTATACCGTAGAGCAATAGTCAAAGTGGGGAAAAATTAAGGAAGTGACTAGGAGCCAACGGGTTTCAAGGGAAAATAGGTGACGGAAGTAATTTAGACGTTTTAAGGTGAAAATGGTACGGCAGGAGATATTGGATACATAGTTTTTCCAGGAAAGCATTTCATCAAAGGTTATTCCATGGTTTTTGATAAAGGGATAAAATTTGATGGGATTGTCATGTAGGAACAGAGTTGGAATAATAGGAACAGTTTTAAGGAGAGGATTGGAGCCTATTAAGATTGCCTTCTTCCTTTCCTCATTAAACGTCAACTCGTTAGCTCTCGCCCAGTCTTAAAATCCATCCAAGTCTTGTAGTTTTTCTGTGGCTGATAATAGGTCCAAGGGCGGGAAGGACAGGTATATTTGGAAATCATCTGCATAGACATGGTGTTGGGAGTGATGGATCGGGAGGAGAAGGTCATTAATGTAAATAGCAAACAGAGTAGGAGATAAAGAGGAACCTTGAGGGATACCACATGAGCAGGGGAGAGTCTTAGATGGAGGTTGATCTGGGATGACTACATACTGGGACCAATTTGAAAGGAAGGATTTGAACCAACCCAGGGCACTATTGGATAGAGTAAGACTGTGCAATTTAGTAAAGAGGATATTATGGTCAAATGTGTCAAACGCGTTGGAAAAACCTAGAAGGATGAAGATAGTAAGGTTTTGGTGTTTAATGGAGTTTTGGAGGTCATAGATTATTTTAAGGAGAGCAGATTGCATTGAGTAGCCTAGTTAAAAAACAGATTTGAATGGGTTGATTTTGGACAAGGCGTTCTAACGGCTTTGAATAGGAAAGAAATAGGATGGAAGTCGTTCAGTGAGGTAGGATTGGAAATTTTATTCAAAGGCCGGACTAAGGCAGTTTTCCAGGAGGATGGGAATATAGAGTTTAGCAATGAAAAGTTGTAGATATGTTAAAGAACAGGTATAAGGGCCGGAAGGTTGGATTTTATTAGTTTTACTGGGATATTATCAGGACCATAATCATTAGTGGGGGATTTTAAGATAGTGGAAAATAATTCATCATAGGACACGTGGGAGGAAAAGAAATATTCAGGATTGAAATAGTTATGTTTAACATCAAAAGTGAGTGAAGAATAAGAAATGGTCATTGAGATTATCTGAAGTCACTGGGAGGGAACTGAGTTTATTGGATTCTGGTAGGAATAGATCACGGAGTATTTTCCATTTGAATTTGGAATCAGGAGCATTGGAAAAGGCTTTATGAAAATAGGTGGCTTTAGAAGGTGGATTGTGGATTGGGTTCCATTGGGAAGTTTGGGACGCATAATCAGCAGGCAAATGGGTAATATATAATGTAGGTATTATTCTCATTGATGTTCTCTAACAGGGCTGTCATGCCTAATTTTCAAAATATAAAAATAGAAAAATGTTTTATTAAGGTCATTATGGATGATTTTATTTGTAACAAAGTAAGGAGCATTGAGGATTATACTAAGGATTTTTAATTGTAAGGATTGGATACGAGTGGAATTTGATGGTTTAGTGGAGCCCCAAAACTCAATTCCGTTAGTCCAAATAAGCCTAATTACAGCCATATATGCAACCTTCCACAGGCCTCCTTGATCGCCTTGAGGAACAGTCCAATCAGTGCCACATCATCGGCACATCCAAGCACTTGAGTCATTTTACTAAAAATGGTGCCCGACTGACTAAGCTCTGCTCTATTCACCATAACTTGGAGGGCGATGTTAAATAGAAGTGGGGAAAGGGAGTCACCCTGTCTAACTCCTGACTTCACTGCAAAAGGTTGGGCCCAGCTTTCCATTTATTTTCACTTGAATCGTGTTCTCATTCAAAGTACACGATACAAGTCGGATTAGCTTCGGTGGAATTCCCATCTCTTCCATTGCCAGGTAGAGCTCTTTCCTGATAATGGAATCCTGCTGCTTTAAAATCGATGAAAAGGATCCATATAATCTTGTTGAATTCTTTTGTTTTTCCATTATTTGTCTTAAAGAGAATATCTGGTCAATAGTTGACCTATTCCTCCTGAAACCTCCCTGGTAAGAATTAAATGCCATTAGTGGAATACAAAATAATACAGTTAGAACTTTTATTAATTTAAGTGACAAATATATGAAAGATGGCTTGAAGATAGCTTACTGGCCGAAACGTAGCTATGAAAATAAAAATAAATATGGTGAAAAAATAAACAGAGCCTTATTTTATAATGCTATGATTAGTATTATTTAATATTTAACTGCATTGGTTACACCAATATAAAAATTAAAATTTGTATAGATATCAATGCTTAAACTAATAGAAATACTTACAATCAAAAATAAAAAAATATAGCTGCCTTCTTTATCAGTGGCACTCTTGTCAAGATAAAAATATTTTGTGGCACTTAAATATTTTTTATGGTCAAGTAAATAATTATAATTTAAAGTCGTAAAAGAAATTAGTTTGGGACAAAATAAGCATAAATATAATATACGGCTTTAAAAAACAAATGGTAATTAATAGTTTTATAATTGGAAATTAATTATATTTTGTATCATCCGTAATTTTTACATTCACTTTGTCTGAAAATACCTATTTCTGTTTAAAAAAAAAAAAAGAGGGTGGTTAGTGAAAGTTGTTTGATATTTTCCCACCGCACCAAATTTTTTTTTAGTTATTGGAATTGCTAGAGATAGTCGTTCTGGAACAGCCTACAAGGGTGATTTGTCTGCAGTTGGAGTGAAGAATGTAATCCAATGGTTTGTCAATCTATGGTTTAGATGTCTACTGCAAAGGCTAAGGCCATTCTGAGAGGATAAATGGTTGGAGCACATTCAGTTAATCCTAGAATGAAAGAATAGCAATGTTTTTAAATGAGATATGTCCTTCATTTAGGCTCCTTTGTTTCTTCCCCATTATACATTCGTATAATGTTTAGAAGACGATGCCCCTAGAGAGCTTAATCACATGGGGTTGGGAGAACAGCTGCCTTTTATTGGCTTCTGGTAGAGTAATTCTAGGTAATTAAAAGTATTTATTATCAGTAATTCCTTGGCCAAGATTGTATAAGACCACAGCGAATGGAACAAGAGTATCAGCCTTGAAGGATACAATTATATACTTTAGGATTAGGAGTGAATGACAACTAAGTACCTTTCTGAAGGAAGTAATCTGGTCATATTTAAGAGCCAAACTGTCTTGTTTATTCTCAATCTTTTTTTATAAAAAGTGATGCCACTGCTATCCTACTATTTAAACATTTATGTTGTGTTTTTTTAATCAGATCTCATCCTGAGTTGATGCAGGAAACACAGGCTTGTTTCTTCTCCCTTATTCGGGACATTCTCCTTTCAACTCCAGACCATAGGATAGAACCAAGAGAGCTTGAATCTAGAGTGAAAGCCTGGGCCAACAGTCCTATAGCACCTCTTAACCCTTGGTATACACCTCAGTTGGAATCAAAGTTGCAATCAGCCGTTCATTTTTTAGCTGGAGATTCTTCAGGTACAGTAAACAAATTTTTCTTTCTCTCTTTAACCCTTAACAGGTTAGTGGCTATGTAAAGAGCTCAACCTCCTAAAATCAGGAATTTTCTATTTAGAAGGAAATAAAAAAAAAAATGTATTACATTTATTGATGTTATAACTCATAATAAATAGGTAGATCAGTAAAAAGTTAAAATAATTTATTTAAAGTTAGTATTTATTTAAAATAATTTAGTAGTATTTATCTAAAAGAATTTAATAGTTTATTTGTACCACTTGAGATAATCTTGTACTAGCCTGTTGTATTATTTGTCCAGAACCCCTTCCTGAAGATTATGTGCCTTATATGGAATGGAAGGTGACTGTAAAGCAGTATCAATGGATAGGAGCAGGCCGTGATTCAGACCACCGCTTGGTTGCCTTATGTTCAGTCTGGGGTGAAAGAAGCTCTGGCAACAGTTCTGCTTCTACAACTGTCCCACCATCAAGCAGTAGTACTATTAGTAATAACAGCATTGTTCAAACCTCGTCAGGACCCCCTGCTCCTCGAGGTCCCGCTGTACAACCCACTTCAATACAGGACAGGATTATTTTCAGGCAGCAGGTTATATTTTTTTAATTATTCTAACATTTTTTTGTTCCATGTATCTAAACAGTGAACTCCTATTGATCAGGCTGCTGGCTATATTTTATCTTTTAATTTTGACTAAATATTCAAAAAATTTTATTGTTTTATATTTCTATACAGTAAACGCCTTTTGATGAACACTCTTTTATAATGGACATTACAATTACACGCATTTTTATTTTTTAGTCTAGTTAATTCATTCCTTATAATTTGTCCTCATAATCAAATTGGCAAACAATCAGCTTTGTTTGTTTTTATTGAATGTATCCTAATAAAAATAGTAATGATGACTATAAAATTATTTATGTGTCAGTTAGAATGCCCACAGGAGGTATCCATAGAAAACTCACAATAAATGATAATAAACAATTCACACAGTAAAGAGTGATTCCAGATTTTATTTACTTTTGCTGACCTCATTTTTCATTCTTATTTTCCTTATAAGATGAAGTAAGTTTATGTATCTTCTTGGAGGCAGACTTCAATGATTGTAGCTTGATGTAGGGATGGGCATGTGAATTGAGAATCGAATCAGTTCCTCCCAAAGAATCATACTCTCAAGGAATTAACACAAAAGAATCACGATTCACTTGATTCAATAGGTATTATCAAAAATAAAAGTACAAGAGAGAAAAACAAGTCTATACATTTATAGATAAACTAATAAATGAATAAAATAGTGATATAAATAAGATTGAGTTATAAATGTCCGAAGTGTGAAATGATCATGGAAGAGTAGATTCCAAAAGTAAACAAAACAACTCAGTGAAAAATGCAACACGGCTTAAAGATTTCTTAGAACAAACCTGGTGAATCAACCGATTCATTCGAAATGATGATTCGCTGATTCAGTAGGAATCGGTTGATTCATGGGGTTTAAGCATACTGCATTTGAGGTTGGCTACCCTGGTTACATTAACGGCAACCATTCTCTTTAGATTTCTCCTAGGGTTTAGAATCGACTGACTTTTGTACAACAGCTCCTCACAAAAAAACTCCATCTCCACATAAGTACTCCAGGGCCTCGCTGGCGTATTTTCTACTACCACCAAAATCTGCACTGGCAGCGGCTCCTGGCTCATGCCAGACCCTTCCATGCACACCGTAAGAGTAAGAGGGTCACGGCTTTAAAGGCGACTCCCCGTGAAGCGTGGCCAGCTTTGCTGTTGACGGCAAAGTATAGGCACGATGCTACAGCTCCATCCATTTTCAGCGCTAGTTGCTTCAGCAGGTGAGTTGTTACACACTCCTTAGTGAATTCCGACTTCCATGGCCACAGTCCTGCTGTCTTAAGCAACCAACACCTTTCATGGTTTCACGTGAACGTCGAATCAGGTGCCTTAAACCTGCGTTTGTTTCATCCCAAATCTATCTTAATGGTTATCAGGTGATCTTGAATTTGATCACATTCACGTTTTTGTAGGTCACATGGAGGGTCCTCTTTTCGACGGATGGATGTCCCAAAGATGCTTAATAAGGTTGAAGTCCGGGCTGCGAGCTGGCCACTCAAATGTGCGGACACTAACCTTGTCTAGGTAGTCTCATACAACATTATTAATGCGTGGTCGAGCATTATCATGTATATAAAGGAAATGGAGGGCGATAAAGGGACCAAAAGGTACCACCTATTCCTTGAGGATTTACGTGTGTGTACTGACCGTCAGACTTTGGATCATATGGAGGTCTGTACTTGACTAAATATATTCCATCCCAAACCACCACCGACCCGCTAAACTGCACTCTTTCCGTTATATTGCACTGCACTTATTACTTACTTGGTCTTCATACTTTACTCGTCTACCTGCACATATAGACTAAACCTGGACTCATCAGAAAATAAATCAGAGGTCTAATCATCTTCAGTCCAGGCGATTGTTAAGGACAAAAGTAAAGGCGAGCTGTGGTAAATAGAAAGCCGGAAGTGGGAACCCTAACGAGCAGGTTGAGTATAGCAAGCCTTCTCCAAACTGTGCATGCTTACCTCTGCACATTGAGCAATTCGCAGTCATCAGCTGGACCTGTCACTTTTGGGTGGCCTGATCACGCTTTCTATCTTACGATATCTCTGGACTGCTTGCCTTACCGTTGTATCAGGCAGCCTGTGGACCCAGGCCTGGTACTGCTACCTTCGGCTGTTCTTAATCAGTGCAATAACCTAAGTGACTGCCACAGTATCCAAAACGATTCTACATTCCTAAAAATGTTTGATTCAAATGAAATATTGTTTGTTTAACACAAAAGCAAAACCTATGCGATTGAACGGGCAACTGAAGACAAACTGATATAAAGTCCACAATTTATTCAATACTTTTACTGTTAATCCTAGAGAGAATTATGAAATTTTCTTGAAAGGATTGATGCATGGTAATCCCCTTTGATCTACCATATAGCTGTTATTACTTCAGGCAAAAAAATATTTCTTTAATCTGCAGTTTTACATAAATTTCAAGATGCATCGGTTTTTTTGACCGCCAGTTTATTTTGGGTATATTTACATTATATTGTAATGTAAATATTATGTTGGGCGCCATGTTGTTAGGTTACGTTTATTTAAAAGTAAACAAAACAGTTTCTGAATCAATTTATATTTATTTCAAACAATAATTATTTCTCAGGTTGGGTTGAGACAACAAACACACATTCCTCAATTATACAATATAAAAACATATATTAATTTTATGTCACATTTATGAATTTCCATTCTTTGTCGGGGTCTACTCTTGGCGCGCTTTTGAGCTATCACTATTTATAATTCACTCACCCTGTTCTGCAGTGAATCTTCCTCAGTGTTATTGTACTTCTACAATCTTCTATTCTTCCTTTGTTGACACTCACTACTTGTTAGTCACATTTTTTTCTCTCGGTACTCTTTACTAGCCGGCTGGCTACCTTCTGCCTCAACGTATGGCTCTTTTTCCCCCTCCTTCTGTCATTCTCTGCCTCTTTGTCCATTTTTGACAGTAGTTTGTGACGTCTTTGCCTTCGCGCCAATATTTAAAATCACTATGTAATATTTACATTACAATATACACATAATATTTTCACTTTTGAGTATATTTATATTATATACACAAAAACATTTTGATGATATATGAAAAATAAACTAAACAACATTATAATATCAATCTTGTGTTATCATCTTTATTGTCCCTCAATTAGGCACTATTTAAATATTTTGAAATTTAGTTTTACTTTTTTAATTAATTATTGCAATTTTAGTTTGTTTTTATTTATTTTTTAGGAAAAACAACGTTATGAGACACCATTTCGTGCTTTCACTTACAGAGTTGGAGGTGTGGAAAGAGTTGTTGGCCCTGTGAGGTCAATGCAAGCTGGAAATCTGAGCAAAGCCCGAGGACATACTCTGCTTGTTGATGACAGACCAAAATATGTTACCATACTTGAATTAGGTATGCCAGTTTGTATCTTGATTTAATGGTTTAATTTCTGAAAAGTGAGTTTTATTATTTGTAAGAGCAAATATAATTAAAACAAAAATAACATATTGACAGCCACACTGCAAAAGCTTGTAAGAACAAAAACTAAAAATCTTCAGGAGACGAAAAAAAACTGCATAATTTTTGTGAGCATTATATTTTCTATTCAATTTTTTTTTTTACAGTCCTAAGACACAGATGTAATGATTTATGTAACTTTTTTGATGACATTTTTGCCAAATAATCTTTTAGAGCCACCAATGCTAACTTAGTTTCTTTGAAAAACAGGCATTAGATAAAACCAATCTAATTTATTGTAGTAACTTTGTTAATAATGATAAAATCATGACAGGAGCAAAGTTAGTTTTCAAAATGTAGAGAAACAATAATTTAAATAAAAATTGACTTGAAAATGTGTATTTGATCTCATGAGTTATTCAATTTTTTGTCTCAACGCGTGTGCACCATTTTGGAATAGTCTGAAAGATTCATTTTTAACGTTCCCAACTCCATATAGACATAGTTTGATTCACGAATGCTTGGTAAGTTCTCGGTAACCTGCTGATATGTAGATCACTTTGTTTCTGAGCTTCTTGCGATTTTGAGGATTGATTTGTTTGAAGAAATGAAACTAGAAGCTACTTTTGCGTCTCATGTTAAATTCTCCAATTAATAAAATCGATTCTCTGTCTCACTGACTGAAATTCTGCGACATTGTAGCTTTTTTCCACTCAAGCTTATTTTGCAATATCCAGTGTACAGACCATCTATTCTCTGTAGCTCGACTGTTTAAACACTAGACATCATATTTATAACGCTATAAGGTACATTTACCTTTAATTGACCAACAGAAAGCTTATGACACAGGAACCTTAAATAAGTTCTGGAAAGCCTTGATTTTGGCATGTATTAGTGAGGCTTTAATGAAACGATAAAAATGGAGGATTCAGGACTGCTATATAGGTACAAATATGAGTGTAAAGTTTGTGAGTTGTTTATCCTCAGCATTTTACATTACAAAAGGCTAAAGCTAGGTTGTTCCTTATCACCTGCTCTCTTTAACTTATTTATTCAACAAGTCCTCAAGAAATAGAAGGAGAATTGCATCTTCCTCAAATCACATAATCTAAATATTTAGAGTATGAGTCAAAAGGAACCCTCGTTGAAGGTGTTTCATTGAAAATATATTGAGTGGATTATTGGGATCCTGAACTTGGTCGTATGAAATAAAAATATTTTTTGGAAAAAATAAATACAAAATTTATCATCATATTCTAATAGGAATAGCCCTAAATTGTGTTAAAATCTATACAATAAAACTGCAAGGTGGCCAAAAACTAAAATCTCTAGAGATGAATTATCTAAGAAGATATTCTGGCATCTCAAGGCTCTTGTACAGGGGTTCCCAACCCGTACACCACTGTGCCTGGGTGACATCACTTGTGCCCGCCGATCTCTAACATAACTTTCAGCACCACCCCCTTGACTACAGTTTGTTAGCTGTAAGCTTTAAGCTATAGCTCTATTAAAAGTGCACTTCAAATTTTTTACAAATGCTCAATATTGTCAGAAAATAATTTATATTCAAAGTGGAGAGGTAAGTGAAAGTTGTTTTGAGCACACCAGATTGTATAACTAGTCCCATGTCGCTTTTAATTAATTTTCAATTTTAATTTGAAAATGTATTAATTTAACATAAGAAACCTATATAAAATTAATCCAATCGTTACACTTGATGTTTTTGTCTTTTCTGTTGCAATACATTTCATTAGTTTTAGAAATGATAAAGTTGTCTGCTGCTATACGTACATGTATATTTTTTATTGATATCTTTTACATTTTCTTTTTCTATTTACAAACAGTAATCTGCCTGCAATTTATAATGAAAAAAAAAAACACAATGCCCATCACTTAAGACATAATCTACAAATGTGCCCGCTGCTGAAAAATAGTTGGGAACCCCTGCTCTAGCATATTTCTAATAAATCTTATTTTAAAAAATTACTGGGTAGGAAATACTTTTATATAATATTGAAGCAAAGAGGCTTCAATGGTTTGGTCACTTAATGAAGATGGAAGATAACAGATGGCTGAAAAACGAAGGTACAGCCAAGGATAAATAATGTGGATTGAAAGTAGGAAGAAGAGAAAAATTGATGAGAGGAATTCTTTGGTAAACCAAAATTCTGTAGTTTGGGATACAATAATAGTAAAAAGCTGAAATAATAATTATAATTATACTAGATGCTATATTGAAGCACTAGGACAGTCAGTTTATTGCTTGAGATTTATTCTGGAGATCACTGATAATGCCCATGGTTCTCACTGATGCATTAAGTTAAAGTGCTTTCCATCTTCTATCTGACCTTGCTAACTTGTTATTTGAGAGATGATGAAGGCTTCTGATCCTAGAAGCCTTCCAATAATAATTGTTTTTTTTTCTCTTGTTAGCTTTTTGTGTGCTTAATATAAAAATCCTACTATAAATCACATAGTTGAAACAATGATAAATCATAGAATTTAATATTGGTGAGTCTTCTATCTGATATTAAAAAATAATTAATAATAAATTAACTGCTTACTAATGAAGTAACCTTCTGTTTGAAAATCTAATTTTTTCACTTAATGTTCCAGGAGTAAAACCACTTTACAGCACAAAACTTACTTTGTATTGATTCTAAAGTTGAAAATTATCCAACATGTATCTATACCAGATATAAATACATGTGTTGCTAGTATTCCTTGAAAGTTCATTTTACATGAAAAGTACTGTAAAATGGTTTTACTCCTGTTTCCTTCACTTATTTACTTAAACCCTGAATGGTTTTTGGTTTTAAGCATTTCTGATTTTTACAAAGCATATTTTTACTATGGTATTATATTTAATTCAAGTTATCTCTTGTAGTTCGAGATGCTGTTGCGAGACTCCCGAATGCTCAAGGAACTCGGGCTGATATTGTTACACTTCTAAAGGACTCACAGTATCTATCTGAAAATTCACAAGAAGGGATGTTGAGTTCTGTTGTTAGTGGTGCTTTGGATAGGCTACATTATGAGAATGATCCATCTGTTAAATATGATTCTAAAAGGAAAATTTGGGTCTACTTACACCGAGGAAGAAGTCCAGAAGAGTTTGGTAAAATATATATTTATATAATAAATGCATGTGTTACATTATAACTATGGCACGAAACTGAAAATATTAATTTTTCTAGAAATAGATCATAAAAATTACTTTTTAGATCTCACACCATTTATTTAAAATTAGAGAAAATACAATAATATTTGCAGATTATAAACATTATACCATAATGTTAACAAAAATTGGAATTTTGACGTAACAACATTAATAACAAGAATATTTATATGCCTATGGGAAATAATATATGCTGGATTTCTTGAAAATATTATCTCAAAATACAGCCAAATAATTTCTAAAATCATAAAATATTTTTAATATCTCTTTCATTAAAAATAAAAATATGATGTTTTTTTTTCATTTTATAAATAATTAATAAGGAATAATTTATGTTTTTTATTAATAATGGATTGAACAAAAAATCATCCTAGACTGTGCTATGTGAGATTTAGTAGTGCAGAGGTAGCATTATTATAGCCTTTCTAATTTTATTTTAGAATTCAAATAAAGAGAATTTTACACATTAGCGTTTATATTAGGAACTAAGAAAGAAACTCTGACTTATATAAAATTTAAAATACATGATGTCTAATGGTACAAACCATGCTAAGGTGTATTTATAACCACCAAGCTATTCATGCATATTGAATTTGTATTTTTAGATATTAAATTATTTAAATTTAGGTCAGTATTATTAAAAGAATAATCTAGAGTATCCTCTATTCAACGAGCCATGTATTTATGTAAGATTTTCGTGGGAAACTCTCTTTTGTCATGTTATTATGTTATTAATATTGACAATTGTCCCAGCTAAATACAAAAAATATTAACCATTCTTTCACATAAAACAAAAAGTAACAGAGGTTTAAAAATCTAGCATTATAGGGATCTTTTGGAAATAAAAACTTAATCAAATAAAATGGTGTGTGTAAATAGTAAATATGTAATATATTGTATCGAAATTGAATGAAATCCAGTTAAGGATCCATGTATGGTTCTTTCTTTTTCTGAATCAAAGTCAGAATTTTTCATTTTTATCAACCAAAATAATAGACATTACGGATCAATGTTTTCTAGCCAAATATCTGGTCATACGAGAGTTTAACTCATATTTTAGGTTTGAATTAGATTTATAACTTAGTTTAAAAGTATACATAATAATTCATTATAGTATGACCAATTGAATCAAATTCCAAATGATTTAGATTATTGATCTATTTTTGTGTGATAGCAAAAAAAAAAAATTTTTTTTTGTGTGAAACAGCACTGTAGATCTATTTCAGTACGAAATTGAAAAAAAAAAAAATATAATTTAATGCAAAATTGTAAATAATATAGATACAAAAAAAAATCCTTTATGTTTTTGTGATGAGAACGTTGAAGAGAAAGGAAGAAATTATGCAAAATAAGAGCCGCCAACGATTTGGAAGACCTAGAGTAGCGTTAAAACATGATTACAAGTTCATCTGCATTCAAAGTAAGCATCAGTGGACTCGTACAGTGCCAGAAATTGGCAAAGAAAGAAGTGAATGCTGTTAAACAGAAGCCTGTGTCAATCAGTACTGTACAATGTCGACTTCTTGATTATGGTTTAAAAGACAATGTAGCTGCTATAAAACTCCTATTAAAAAAAACAAACAATTAGAATGGACCTAAAAACATGGAAATTGGTCTGTAGAATTTTGATCGGAAGTGTTGTTCACTGATAAATCATAATTTAAAGTTTTTGGAAGTAAGCAAAGGCAGTATGGTCGTATGGTTGGTAAACGTACGATAAATCAATATATAATACCAACTGTAAAGCAAGGTGAAGGATCAGTTATGGTTTGGGCAAGTTTTGCCGGTGACAAAGTTGGAGATCTCATCTGAATAGCGAGAATTATGGAAAGAAACAATATCACGGAATTTCGCAGCATCACGATTTTCCATGTGGGCAAAAAATTGTGGGTCAAGAATTTGTTTTCCAGCAGGATAATGTAATTTTTTTTTAATTGTGTATAAACTTAATTGAAACAAAAGAAAAGCAAAAATTACCTGAACACATGGCGTGTCCTCCTCAGCCTGCTCATCTTAACCCATTGAACTGTTGAGGGATGAGCTTGAGAGAAAGAAGAATTGGACGATCAAAAAAACTTTCTCAACTAGAACATTGCAAACATTAATAAAAAGAATGCCAAAAATATCCAATGCTCTGATCAAGACAAAACCAGGATATTTCAAAGAATAAAAAATTTGACTATATTCATAATTTGTAAATAAAGTTATAGTTGCTATATAACAATTGTACTTGTATTTATAAAAATTAATCTGATTCGTTATTATTTGAGATACAAATTTTGTTATTTATTTATTTTAGAAAATCTAGGGTTAAGTCAACTTTTAACTGGTAGTGTATGTCTGTAATATTTTAATTGTGAAATCAAGCCCATCTGAATTTTTAAAAAAATTTTAACAGCTATTTTATTTCTATTTCAGAACGATTACATGCTCTTGGTGCAAATGTGAAAGTATCAAGACCAAAATCAGCAAGAAAGCCTTCTAAAACAAAGAAGGATGCTTTACCCAAAATTGAGATTCCTGAGAGTTCTGTAAGTTTTTATTTTATTTTATTTTATAGATTTGGTAGGTTACAAGCCATAGGCGGTTGAAATTGTCAAATAATAAATTGAAATTCAGGCTGCTATTGATTAGGAAACGGTTGGGTTATCAAGATTATGCATGGAGTGTGTTACTGCCTGTAGACATCATCAACCGGGAGAAGGGATGTGGTGTTCAGGGTTGTGTGTGGGGTTTGGGTCTAATTGTTATTGTTAAGCAATCAAAGTGATAAAAAAAACTTAAGCTTGTTTGATTCGCATATTCAAACCTAAGGAGCTTGGCTATCCCACATTTTTAAGATTATTTTAAACCAGTAGGCCCATGCGGAACAACATATTGTTAAGTGATCAAATACCAAATTAATGAGGAAATAAAATAATGCAACGTATCATAAGATAAAGAAATCAATTGTTACTTTATCGATAAATATAATTGACAAAGGAAACAAAAATTAATTTAAAACTTCATTAATGTTTGGAACCAACGTGTTTAAAAATTTCAATAAGCTGTATCATTGCTAAAAATTGTCCGATTTCGATGATTTTTTTTATTGAAAGTATTCTAGCAATATTATTTTTCTGCCTTGATCTCTCAAGGTGATTAAATATTGAACTATAATGAGGGATATGCATATATATAACCAAATTTTGTGTTATTATTTTAGTTGGTATTACATCATTGCTAAATGATGAGCTTGAAATTTTCAGTTTACTCATTTTCATAAATGAATTTAATTACCAGATTAATAGTTCTGCACCATTTTCTATTTATTACTATACTATACTATACGATATTTTATTTAAAGTTGATTATTTATAATTCATAATTCAGACATTAAGAACTTATGAAACTTCTATAAACAGATATAGAACCTAGGCATCAGCACTTGGGAAATAATATTGGGAGGGAGGCGAGAGGATAACGTAATATAACAACATTGTTCAATGCTTTGAATGTAGGGAGAAGGATTGATAAAATATCATACAGAAAGGAATGACCCAGTAATCAGTTTATTACCCGTAATATTGTATAATTATTTAGTATATGGTTTACTGAACTTTTTGTGAGTTATTTTAAGTAAATAGTTGTGAAAAATTGGAGGAGCCAGCTCCCTTTATAACATGTTGGGCAGCAGAAAGTGAATTTTATTAATTATATATATTTCCTAAAGTTTTGTAATTTATTTTAAATTTACTATTATTATTATATTATTTTATTGTATGTTTGATTTTTATTACAATTAGTATAACATTGTAGGAGGGTCGAAGTGGAACAGAAGGTGGTAGTGTTGTTGCAATCACAACTGCTAGCGGTACACCATTAGTTGTTGATGCCAAAAACAGTGTGAAAAGACCAGTAACAACAGTTACCAGGAAATTGATATCAGATGGAGGAGTCAAATCACTCCTTGGAAAACCAAGAAACAAATTGAATGAAGGACAAGGAATCCTTAGACTTCAAGGAAGCTCAGGACAACAAAAGCCTGGATCGATTCTTCCTGCTAGAACAATTGTACAGGACACTAATCTGGTCAGAACTGCACCACAAAATGTAGTTAGTGTTTTTCATTATTTTTTACAGAATGTTTGCAGTTTAAGAGATGTTGCAATTATAACATAATTCTAGTAGAGAAGGATGACCTTGATTAATTTTGAATGAATGTAGCTTATTCACCTGCTCAATATATGTAATTTAAAGTAATTAGGGTTTTCCCAGAAAGTTGGATTTTCCACTGAATCATTCACAATACTTCTTTATATATAAATGGACTATGAGATTACTAGTTCTTGGAAAATTACTGAATATTCTTCTTATGTTTATATTTCTTTTTGAAATATTATATTGGCAAGATGAAATAATTTTTTACTAGTATGTTTAATTGTTTAGTGACTGTTTTAAATTGTTTGAATTGAGTTCATTTCATTTAATTAAAAACAATTAGATCTTTTTTAAAAATCATAGTTATAAATGCGTTTATAGCATACATTATAGATTTATTTATATGTCTTATTTATTTCTAATTTTATAAGATATGTATATATAATGTTATAAAATGATAATGTTTTTAAGTTTGAATATTATTATCTATATTTTGTTATAGGTTAAAAAATCTGTGACTATATCAGCGGATGCAGTTGCTAAAGCTGGAAAATCGATAGTAAAAGTAATTACTACTTCGCAGACTGGAACTCAGAATGCTGGTATGTGGTATTTTTTCTTAGTTGTATTTTTGTTAGAATATGAATTTTATTTTATAAAAATGCTTAAAATAGGTGGATAAATGAATTAAAATAAGCAGTCTTTTTTTTTTTTTTTTTAATAGTGTTAAATTTAAAAAGAAAAATGTTTAAAAAAATGCTATTTTTTTCAAAGTTATTGTACGAAATGTTGAGTTGCTAAAATGGAAAATAAAAGTATTTAAATATAATATTTATAAATAATATATTAATAGTGGATTGGTGGTTGACTGTAGTAAATAATTGAAGAGAAGTTGTTTGGGGTGTTCAGTCAAAAATAAAAGAAATTTATTTTTACTTTTTTTTTTACTGGACTCCCCAACCAACTTCTCTTCTACTGTTAATAATATAAATAAAAATATTTTATATATATGAAAAATATTAAAAAAAAAAAAAACAATATATATATATATATATATGAAAAAAAAAATACATAACATCAGTTCATTGCAAACTCATTAATTGCATTCCATATCCTTAAATCACTAAGAATTTTTATGAATTTTCTCCTTGTTAAATTAGAAAATTGTGCGCTTGTTGTAACAATGTCCAATTTATAAAAGGATGTACTTACAAGGAGATGATACAGTCTGTGGGTCACCGGTTTCAGCCAAATTTTTTTTGGTGATACTACATCGAAAAATATTGGACACATATCAGGATGTTCTTTCCAAAGCCCAAAAAAAAAAAAATATTGTATATAATTACTGACCAAATTTATGTTATTAATTTTTTTCTTTGCTTTGTCCGAATTTTTATGGTATTATATATCAATGGATTTCTTTTTTTGTGCAGAATAAGAAAAAAATATTGATTATTATATTAAATGAGTTATAATGTATCTTAAATTACAAAAATCAAATGGCACTTCCAGTAAAGTTGGACAAATAAATGTTTGTTTTGAAAAAAAAAATTTAGATTTGTTTTTAGTGTCCTTTGAAACTCTTATACGAATTTTCATGAAAATAAAAAATTACAAAATTTAATACCTGATTTTTTTAGAGAATATTTTTTCTGTTTGATAACTAAAGCATTCTTAGCTTCACAGTATCTTCTCCAAATTCAATGTTAGTATAATTGTTGGAAATCAGAATTACTACTCTTCCAACCCACATCGATAATTTTTAGATTTCATTCCTCTTTCAATCAGAATTTAAGAGTTATTAGGGGGGTTATTTAAGGGTTTTAAATGGGAAAAGGGTATTTTTAATACAGAGAAAAGTCAGAGGAAAATTTTTGAAGTTAAGGAATTTTTTTAGTTCGTAAATACTTTTTTCAAATTGGAATTAATATCCAGTGGATGGAATTTATAACAACCTTAAGGGAACTGGTAAATTTCGTTTTTATAAACCTATAATTGTTTGAACAACGGTCGCTATATGTCTCCACCTATCATTGTGGTGGCCATGGCCATTATATTGAAATTAAAAGTAAGGGTAATGAACAAAATGGAGTTAAAACAGTGCTTTTTAAAACTGAAAAACATACCAATACAATTTACAGTACTTTTTGTCTAGGGGGCCGCTACTGATTCAAAATGGAGTTAAAACAGTGCTTTTTAAAACTGAAAAACATACCAATACAATTTACAGTACTTTTTGTCTAGGGGGCCGCTACTGATTGCTATCTGCCAATGTTTATAACCTGAACACTGATAACTCCCATAACGCAGTGATAAGCCTTCTCCTACTTCATATCTTTGTATTATTGAAAGTGTAAACAGATTACAAAAACAAATGTAATAACAAAAAAAATACTTTTATTTGACGACACATATTTTAATGAAATAATAAAAAAACACTTTAATGTACATATATAAAACATCAAAATGAAATAATAAAAAAACACATTTAAAAGAACATATTTATATAGAAAAAAAATATATAAAACATAAAATCTGTTTTATAAAAAGATAAAACATTCATCTGTTTCTCGGCAAACTCCACCAAACATCCACTGCTGAGATAAAACTCTCCCCACATGATTTTTTCATTTAGAAAAAAGACTTTCGTCTACTTCAACCACTTTGCCAGGTCCTCCAATTTTTTTTCTCAAATTTTTTAAACTTGATTTTATTGATTTTTTTTTTTTTGTTATTCACCTAACCATTAGTGATAATAATCACTGAACTTGTTTGGAATTTCTTTAAATTTAACATTACGTCAAACTCTAGAAAGCTGAATTAATATTCTTCCAACCCACGTAAATAAATAACTTTTAGATTGTATCTCTTTTTAAGATAGAAATAAATAAAAACTTTTCACATGTTTTTATTTTATATCTCCAATTCTAATTTGTATACAGAGGTGAGCTTAGCTTGTTGCAATTCTTGTAGTTTATATTGGACTGAATCCCTGCTTGGTTTCATGTATGGGTGGAGTTGTGTTGAAGTTATCACAATTTTTGTAATTTAAAAAAAAATATAAAGACCCACAGCCAAACTTTTGAGGAATTAGTAGTCAGAGATTTTTTCAGGTGCGAAATTTTATTTCTTAAAAAGATATTTTATCCCATATGCTCCTTCGGTCCAAAAAAATAAAAAAAATTGTTTTATTGTAGATCTTATACACAATGATCATATATTAATCCCTTCAAATTTTTTTTAGAAAAAAAAAACAAACTTAGAATTTGTTTTTCACACCTCGAAAAACCCTTATATACAAATTTTTATAGCAATCGAAAAAACAAAATGTTTTTTTTTCAAAATTTCACTCTTAATTCAAAATTCTTATGGGATCTGAATGTGTTTAACTTGTCTAATATTTACAATAGAGCTATGAAGATTTTTGTTTTCCATTTTCCCATCATTTTTATCTTTAAAGTTCAGTTACAAAGAATGCAGCCTGCCACGTTGATCGAGGACAGATCTTGTTCTGTTTGCATGAGCCATAAATTTCCTCGTTTACAGTATGCAGGCTCAATTTATAGTTTCTGAGATATTTTAATCCATATATAAAAATATTTTAATTAGTCTTCACAAAAAAGTGCAAAATGCTCCTAAAGAAGTTTTCACTTCAATAAAATAAAATTTATCAACTATGTGAGCCTTTCAGTTGACAGAATGACTAACTCCAATTTCAACATTTTTTATTATTTATTTTAGTGGTATTTCTAGAGCGAAAATGTATACCTTTATTCACAGTTCTATATTTCAATACTGCAATCACCTACTCTAGAAATCAACTTACTCACTGTCTATACAAATATTGTAAATTTTCCTACTGGAAATTTAATTAAAATGACTTCTAAAAAATATTGAAATTAGAGTTAGTCATTCTGTTAACTGAAAGGCTTATATAATAATAGTGTTATACATTGTAAAATTGAAATATCTGAGACACAGTTCAAGTAAAGAAATTATACCTAAAACAGTACTTCAGATATTAATTAGTTCATCAAATTGTGCAAAAATTAGATTGTTTATACACCACATATAATATTCTTCATCCTAAAATTATTAATAATTACCTTCGATAAATAATTTACATCCTAGCAAACATTCTTTTTTCCACTAATGTTTTTCAATTATCTAATGTGTGAGAATAACTTTTTTTTTCTGATTTGCCAAAAGTTAAGCATACAAATTTATTATTTTTAAAATTAATGTTGTTGTTTTAGTAAGAACAGTACAAAGGGTAACAAATCAACAAACAAGCCAGCAACAGCAGCAATTATTGCAATTGAAACAGCAACTTCTTGCCAGTGGTGATAAGATTGTTAAGGGAACTGGCATTCCTACAGCATCAATTAAAAAAACCCAATCCCAAATTGGAACTCAACAACAGGGTCAAGTTACAACTCAGGGACAACAGCAGCAGGTTAATTTTTTACGATTTATTCATTTTAATTATCTCAACTTTTCAATGTTTAATGATAAAAATAATATTTCTTTAAAGGTCATTGTAATGAAACAGCAGACATCTGGAGATAGTGGTAGTGGTGTTTCTGGAGGAAGTGGCAGTTCACAGCAGATGATAGTTATTAATCAGCCACAGATATTGATGGATTCATTATCTGTTAAACAGCAAAAGCAGTTGCAGCAAATTCTAACTAAGCAACAGCAGCAGGTTGACCAACAACATACTTCAAATCAGTCCATTCAGGTACAATTAAATGTTATTTCTTGATAATTAATTAATTTTTTATATAATTAATAATTAAATATCTATGTATTGACATTTATGCTGTTGGAAACTTAAGAAACTTAGTTTATTTGTGAATTAATTTTATAATTAACTGAAAATTTGCAAGGCAAAGTTATTTCTTCTATTGAGATTGAGACTACCTGCACCAGAAATTGGTACATGATAGAAATATGCTGTCCATTCTTGAGAAAATACTGTCCAGATGTAGTGAAGTTGAAAGTAGAGGACTAAATAGACTGCCTGACCTACATTAGGATAACAAATAAGTTGGTTCTAACAGTTTGGAAGAACTAGCTAATTTGTGCAATATTTGAAATTTCTTAAACCATTATCATTAGTTTTGAAATCATTCATACATGATCAGTAAGGCATATGCGACACATTGCTGCTTCATTTGTGTTATCTCCTTCTGTAACATGATTAAAGTTGTATAAGTTATCTTGCTGTACCTTTTCCAGATGTTCTAATAATTGGTCATTACAAGGAAAAATATCTACTCCAAGAATAAAAATAATGAACAATGTCGATAGGAACTTTAGTTCCAGGCCAAATAATGGAAAAAGGATAACTAGGGCTCATAGGGGTATTGTGTTCCCATATTCTCTTTTTATAATGACTTCCTAATTGTTTAATTTCAATCAATTCATATAAATTTACCATTTTGTTATCTTGTTGTGTATAGAGGTTCTGCAATTTTAGACTATTAAAAACTTAAACTGTCAATCTTTCCTTCTTTCACAATAATTTTATTGCACATAACAACTTCAACTAAATTCTAGATGAGTTTTGTTTAAATTTCTTTTCATTTTTTAACAAAATTCATGTTTATTCATATAGTTGATCCTCGGTAAACAACAGACTGGAGAGCAAGGCAAGGTTTTAGCAACTGGAGGCACTAAGACTGGTCCTATGATAGTCATGAAACCAAATGATGGAAGTGGTAAACAAGGACAAGCAGGAGTACAGCAGATGATACTGGTAAAGCAGAGCAATAGTGGTGATAGTGGAGATCAAGGAACAACAACTCATATCACTCAGCAACAACTTCAACAGATGATATTGCTGAAACAACAGCAAACACAAGGTCAGGGCCAGGTGGGCCAACAGGGTCAACAGCTGACGCAACAGATGATTATTGTGAAGCATTCTGACCAGAAGTCAGTTCAAGTGATTCCTCAGTCTACTTCTAAGGTATGTTTTATTAAGTAGCTTAAGATTAAAGATATTTTAAAATTACCTTACTTTTTTATTAATATATTATTAAGCCAATTATAGGAGTCCCAAGGTGATTTTCTTATTTATTATGCATTGGTTGCAAATGATGTCAATTACATTGTGTATTGAGGGTTGACTGTTTGGTAAATCAAGAAGGAGAAGGTGCAGGCTGCTGTTAAGAATAACATGAAGTAGTAGTGACTTTATTAAAATTCTAATTATATGAGCCATTCAATAAATAGTTCCCACTATATATAATCAAAGTTAAGCAACGTGATAAGTACTTGGATAGGTGACCCAACATGGGAAGCCATGCTACCTGAGATTCTTCTCCTGAGTATGTGAGCCTGTCAGCCTCCTAGAGGCAACTCATACCAATCAGGCGGAGTGGTCTATGGGTGGCCTGTCACTGCAACATGCAGACAATGCAATGGTCCATAACAATGTGAGGTCTGGTGACTCCCTTCCCTTTAGGCTATCTGTGCTCCTGCATGCAATACGCACATCTGTAAGCTGTTACCTATTGTGATGTTGGCAAAATTAGATGTATTGCTGAAAAGAAAAAATGAAAATTTTCCTCCCTTTTATAAAATGAATAAAAGCCATGTTCTGATTTTTTGAGAAAATTACAGTTTTTCTGTATTTTTTTTTTCTTTTTTGTGTCATCTTCCTTGCCTGATGCTATAGAGGCTTTTTCATAGACAGATGAGAGGGCAGGGGATTAATGTTTCATATTTTTCAGGTTAAATACCAGATTTTACGTTTGATAATTACCAGAAGGTACCTTTGATGATGATGGAGGAGGTACTGAACCTCCAAAGTTAGAAGAAGTAGCGAAAGCAATTTTGGTGAATGAAAACCAATAAGGATTGCCAGTAGAATTCTTGAAGTAGAATGTGAGGAGTTCATAGGGCAAGTGAAAAGATTAGTCACATGCCCCTTGCACAAAACGAGAGACCAATTAAAATGGAAGAAGTATTGGGGTATCTCACTCTTATCATGTGCATGAAAAATTCTTTTCAATATCCTCTTCTACTGACTATCTCCAATCGCCAAGCTAGAGATAGAGAGATATCAGACTGGTTTTCGGAAGGGCAGATTGACCATCGACCAAGTATATACACTTAGGATGATTTTGGAATGAGGTCGTGATTATAAGCTGCCAACCCAACACCTATTCATTGACTTCACAAGTGCTTATGATAGCTTAATGCAAGCAAAGCAGTTTGAGTCACTGTTGGAGATGTATGTCCCAAGTAAGTTGACTTGCTTTGTGAAGCTGATAATCAAGGATGTGAGGTGTCAAATCCGAATAAAATGATGACCTGGCTTCTCTTCAATTTAACTTTGCTCTAGAGGAAACGGTGAGAGACTGTGGAATCCAGATGTGATGTACGATCTTCTCACCTATGGTGGAGATACTTGGTTACATCGATGACCTTTATATAGTTGCAAGGTCTTAGCCAGAGCCAGAAGAAGTGTTCTTTAACCTTATGAGGACAGCTTCAACCATTGGCCTTGTTATAAATGAAGCCATAACTAAGTATTTCTGCACAGGATTTGGGGAAGATCCAGAGTTGGTTATCAGCCCTTACACTTTTGAAAGGTTAACTGAGCGCACTTACCTTGGATCCCACATGACACCTTCGAATCGGTGTTACTTTGGACTTCTGAAGACCTTCAGGAAAAAAAGTTCTTTTTTAGATAAGACACTATTCTTATATAATAACGTTAAAGGTTCTTGAAAAGTATATAATGATGTAAAAATCTGTACTAAGCAAAATCAAAAATGAATAGCATCAATTTTCTTTGAAATAATATAAAACATTTTTTCTTGGCTCTTTGGGTGCTTTGGCAAGAACCCTTAAACTTGGGTCCAATATTTTACGACATAATATCTTTAAAAAAATTTCATTGACCCCATGTCTCCGTCTTAGGAATTTGGTTGTTTTCGATATAAATTTGAGGGTAGGTATTTCTTCCAAGTGTAAATATAATGTGTTTCGATTTATCATGGTTTAGTTGAATTTTCCACGATTTTTACCAGTCTTGTAATTTATCTAAATGATGTAATATCAGTGAGGCTTGTGTAGGGTCATGATGTTTTGTGAGAATTGATGTGGCATCAGCATAAGTAGCAGTCAATGTCTCATTGTTAATAGGTATGTCGTAAGTGTATACAGTATATAGTAGTCTGTCTGTACACTTACAAGGGGAACTTATATAAAAATACATTACACAAAAAAAATATTAGATTGACTTTTCCCTTTCATCCCTCCTTGCCATTCATTAACATAGTCAAATCTCACTTTTTTTTATTTTATCAATTTAGTTGGTATTTTGTTATATTTTAATATGTTATTGACGAATGAAATTTTTATCTATTCTAGGCTCAAGCTCAACCTCAGCCTCAGGCTCTGACATTAGCTCAACTACAACAGTTGCAACAACAAAGAAATTCTGTATCCACTAGCCTTCTTTCACAACGAGTTGTTGGTGAGTTCTTTGTATTTTTTTTTTAAGGGAAAAATGTACATATATTTGAATTATTGTTCTTAAAAACATTTTTCCTTAAAAATTTGGTTTTTCATTAAGAATCATGAAGTTCCTATTCTTAAGCTACAAGAGGATCTTGTATTTTATGTATTATTAGGCTGATAAGAATAATTATTGTACAGATATGTTATTCTAAATTATTTAAAGGAAATAACAAGAAACAAAAATATTGTTCTTTTCTTTTAAAATAAAAGGAGAAAATTTCTACAAAAATGGCTTAATATTTGCTGATTCAAATTCTCTTGAATAATTTGCAAATGTTGATTTTACCCGTGTTGTATGTCTTTGGTAATGTAGTGCTTGGATTCATTGCATAGCCTGTGTTTCTTAACCAAGGCTTTTTCCTAGAAATTGTTAAGTAATAAGATTTTCAGCCACCAGTGGAGATCATCACAGATTTTATAGACCTTTTTACATAGTGAAATTACTCCAACAAAGTCAAGACTGAACATCAAGGTCATATTAGCACCTGATCCATTAAATAATATTACGGAAACCAGTAGATAAGAAGTTATCTGATAGAAATAGGGAAGCTATACTGACCTTCTTGGCATATGGTTTTATTTTATAATAATCCTCTTTTTTTTTCTTTTTTTTTTTCCAAGATTTGAGTTACTGAAGTTTCACTGTATAGTGTAAAATATTTGAATAACTGAAATTTGTGTCAATATTAATTGCAATGGGATTTAATGTTATTTATCTATTATAAATGGGAAAATTTTTTAAATATTTTAATCTTTATTACAGTGAGCAGTTCTGGAGGTACAAGCTTGATAAAGTCTCAAGTTGCGACGGGTACCAGTGCTGGAAGTCCAGTAGTTGCGAAAGTGGTCCCTGCTAGTGGAAATAGCACTCCTATAATTACAATGGAAAGTTTACTTTCGGCTGCTAAGCAATCTCAAACCTCACAGCAAGGTAATCTAATAATTATTTCATACATTTTTTTTTGTATTTCATTATGTTTTTTAACAACAAAAAAATTCCCTGCAGCCTTTGCTTCAATATATTTACTTTAAAAAATTGAAATATTATTTATTTAAATTTATCTTGTCTCTTGGCTTAAAAAAATAATCATCTTAGTCTAAGTTTGCTGCTTATGTAATGATTATATACTTTTTAGCTACAGTGAGATTGCCTACTGTAACTAGGGCCGTTCCATCTCAGTATGCTGTTGTTTCATTGCCTCAACAGAGGGTGGTTCAAACAACTGTATCACAAGTAAGAAAAATTATTGTTTTAAGGTTTATGATTCAGTTTTGTTGTTTCCAATATAAAACTGCTTTCTAAATAATCTTTGCTTGATTCAACAACCATAATTCTATTTTTAATATCAGGAGATGAAAAAATGTTAATTTAAACTCTGATTTTATTTATACTTTCCTACAGCTACTGTGTACTGTGTAGAGATCAAATTGTTGGTTCCATTGGAGTTTAAAAAGCAAAGTTATAAGTCAAACCTAGGTTAAAAGAGATTGTTTTACGATTGTAATTAACTTCATAAAACGTTTTTAAATGGACAGGCTGGAGGCAGTGACACTTCTAATTCAACTACAAGTGTGAAAATGGCCACAGCTCAGGGAGTAAGGATTCCTGGATTGAATCTTACTCAGATTGCTGGGAAGCAAGTTCTTTTAGCCAGTAAGCCTGCACAACAAGCTACTACATTGCAAGGACAGGTTAGTAAAAATAATGCTTAGAAAATTATGAATAACTCCTGTTGCCATGAATGCTCTCTTTTGGCCTGAACAAAAGTCCAATAATTGATTTGAGTGCATGTGGAAATGACTGTGGTAAGTACTCATACACCATCCTTTGTATTATATCAGACTTGTAAATGTAAAATACTCTCATCTGTGCTCAATAGGCATATAAGAAATATCTTGTCACAATAGTATTGTTGAACTAATTGATAGTTTAATTCTTGACTAATATTAGTGTTTATAATAGTGTCGAGATGGTTGACAGTGATGATAATATGAGAAGGAGTTGGTCAGGGGGTGCTGTCAAATGAATACCATATATCAAAATTGCATTTTATTGTTTAGACCTACGTTTCGACCCACTTTGTAGGTCATCATTAGGGCTACAAAAGATACTAGGAATAAAAGGTACATGGTGAAAAAAAAAATGAATTATTAGTGATATTAAACTTTTTATATTTGTTTATTTAGAAATATTACATTCTGTCACATCAAGGACATTTATAATAGTGTTCAGAGAAAGCACACTCACACTCTAAGTGATATTAAACTAGAAATAGTTGTTTGATAAAGAAATATATCTGTATTCTATCTAAAAAGATATACTGTATACATCTTTTTCTCACAATCAGTTTATTTTTAACTTACACGCTATATTCATCTTTGTTTTATATTTTTATTCACACTTATTTTCTATTTTTGTTTGTATCTTCTATATATCTAATATTTGATATTTTAACTACGCTGTCACCGTATATCTCTGATGTCATCTTATTATTTCTTTATCAGACAACTGTTTGTTGTTTAATAATATCGCTAATAATTCATTTTTTTTTCATCATGTATTTTTTATTTTTTGTACCACTTTGTATCAGCCCTGATACAGGCCTACAAAATGGGTCGAAACGTCAGTCTAAAAAATAAAATACTATTTTGATATATAGTATTCATTTGACTGCACCCCCCGACCAACTCCTCATAATATTGTGTTGATTAATATATATAAACATACTAATGTTTATTATTTGAAAAAATTAAGTTAATTTTGTTTTCTCCTAATAATTAACATATTAGCAAGTATTTTCTATACTAAATTTAAGATTTATTTTTCATGGCAATAAGTTTTATATAAAAAAAACAACATATTTTTTATTTTAGTACCACAACTTATTAGCAAGTACTTTCTTTTTTAATGAGCGATGAAATAGTGTAGATTGTCAAAATCAGTTGAGGATTATATTCCGGGATCTATCGAGGAATTAACCACGTGATCAGCTACACAAGGTTTGAAAATTGAAAACAGTAGAGATTTACACGCTAATGACAAAAACCATCGAGTCAGATGGCTAACAGAAAGAGTTTGGCTTTGGTCGAATTACAAAAAGTGAAAAAAATTATGTGATCAGCAGCAGGAAAAAATCCAACTATAGTAGTTTCAGGCCACTTAGTAGGTAACAGATTTAATAAAATCAGACAACATTTTGGAAGCTTTATATGAATCTGTGAGGCCTTTAAAAATCGCAAAAAGTGTCCTAAATTATGAGCGGAATTGGAATAAAATAGGTCGCAGTTTAAGACAGTTGTTTGTTTGAATCAGACCTGAGCAAAAAGTATTTTAATTATGATTTAAAATACAGTATTTAAAATAACAATTATTTGGTGTTTTTAAAATACAATATATTTTAATTAAATTGTTTTCAGTAAAATTATTATACAAAGGACCGATGAATATGATTTCCAGAAAGTGTTAACTTTTTTCATAAATAAATTCTTGACAGGATTAATAGGAGATCTAAAAAATAAAAATCCCTCCAAAAAATATTTTCATTTTATTTGCAAGATAATAAGATATAGAAAAAATAATTTGTTTTGTATTTTAAATAAACAAACTAAATTACCAAATAAAGTAGGTTCTCTGCAATATTAGTTGATTGTCCACCAGCAAATATTTAGTATTTGTATTTTGTAATTAAAATATTAAAAGTTTTTTTAATAGAAATAATTTTACTGAAAACAATTTAATTAAAATATATTGTATTTTAAAAACACAAAATACTTGATACTTTATATACTGTATTTTAAATCATAATTAAAATACTTTTTACACAGGTCTGGTTTAAACAAACAACTGTCTTGAACTGCAACCAATTTTATTCCAATTCCGGTCATAATTTAGGACACTTTTTGTGATTTTTAAAGGCCTCACAGATTCGTATAAAGTTTCCAAAATGTTGTCTGATTTTATTAAATCAGTCACCTATAAAGTGGTCTGAAAATATTCCAATTGTTTTCTTTCCCTACTGCTGATCACATAATTTTTGGACGTTTTTATGATTTTTAAAGCTGTCAGATTAGTATAAAGCTTCCAAAATTTTGTCTGACTTTTATAAATCTGTTACCTACAAAGTAGTCTGAAACTATTCCAATTAGTTTTTTACCTGCTGCTGATCATGTAATTTTTGGCACTTTTTAACATTTTTAAAGCTGGCAGATTCGTATAGAGCTTTCTAAATTTTTGTCTGATTTTATTGAATCTGTTGTCTACTAAGTGGTCCGAAACTATTCCAGTTGGTTTTTTTCCTGCTGCGGATCATGTAATTTTTGGCAGTTTTTTTTCACTTTTTGAAGTTTGACGAAAGCCAAACACTTCCTGTTCGCTGCCTGACTCCATGGTTTTTGTCATTAGCATGTAAATCTCTACTGTTTTCAATTTCCAAACCTTCTGCCACTGATCACGTGGTTAATTCCTCGATAGATCCCGGACTATTGGGTAAGGATAATAAGAGAGTAATAAAAAACAGAGTAAGTAATATTTGGCCTCGTTTAGGCACTTCTGCCATCCGGCCTTAACTGCTGCTGCTGTTTTCCCATTTTATACACTTATCTATAGCGGCCAATTTTACAATCCCCATCTGATTTCAATAATTTTACAGTATAAATGCTTTTTTTTTCAAACTTAGAAAAGAATACAAAAGTTTACATTTCATTAAAAAAAATTCATTTAATTACCTTGGAAATATGTGATTTATGTTAAATAATGTTAGTTTTCTGAAATTATTATTTATATTTTATTTGTCACTCTCCGTTACCCTCTACGAATTTATTTATTTGATATTATTTTATCTAAACTTCTTCGCTTTCCAACGATATATTATACGTATACCTTCTAGCTGTTATTTCTGGAGATTCGTTTTCAACCTGGATAAGCATTTTTCATTTTTTCTCCAGTTTCCAATTATATTCTTCCAAACTTAATATTTAGTCATTTTTTATAGTTATAGGTATTAAAAAAGAGTTAATTTTTTTAAATAAACCATATTAAAGGTTCTTTAGAGGAAAGCGCATATGAACATTGGGCATTTAAGCCCTGTAAAGTGACATCAATGGGGATAAGACCTAACTGATATTATACAATACTATAATTATACAGATATTATACAGATCACTTAATTATACAATGATATACCAAGTTTAATCAAAATCGTTATTGAGGTAGACTGCTAACACACACACACACACACACACACGCACCATTGCAGGACTATATTATTTGGACTCAGGGGAACTCAAAACATGTATTTCCATTGAAATCTGAGATTCAAAAATTTTCACGATCGCAATACTTCCCCTTACTATATATTACATACATAGGTAAGTGAAAGTAAAAATTTAAAGCACTTCTTGCACTTAGAATACTCCACAACATTTTAATTAAGAAGATTTTTTCTTTTAATCTATTATGTCTTCTCCACCTTCTCATATGTTTGAAGAATAAAAACATTAAATGAATTTTATATAGATTTTAAGTTTTATTATCACTAATCACATTTTGCACAATTAATAACTGAATCAGGGCCTCTTTTCATTATTTCCAAAATTCTTGCTACTTTAAGTAGATCCAGTGAAGGTATGATGATCCTTCAATTTTATTCAAAATTATTATTATTTTTTTTTAGAATGTGGTGTTAGGAAATTCTGGAGGACAAGCTTTACTGGTTGGAGGTAGCGGTGGTCAGCAGGGTACACTTACTCTGCTGCAGCAAGGATCACAACAGATTCTCATACCACCTGGTGCTCTTAAGACTCTTCAGGGTCTTAAAGTGATTCCTTTGGCAGCTACTGGAAAACATCCTCAGCAAGGTAGGGTTCTGCACATATTTAAATTAAACATTTACTAAGACGTTTTTCTTTGATGTGGTTTCTACCACACTAGGTGAATAAAATAACTGAAATTATTGTGTACCATTATTTATCACTTGGGGATCATCCATTATCACTTGTATAGTAATATACTGTGAATTTAGGATCTTTTTATCATTTAATTATTTATTTATTTAATTTTAATTTTTATCCTTGTTTTATTTTTTTATCTACATTCATGGAATTGCATTGTATATGTCTGTTTGATTTAGTCTTGTATTTCTAGCATTCAAATACATTTTTTTTTTTTTTTTGGAAAATGTATGTGCTATGTAATAGTAATTGTTTAATGTGGTATATTAATGATATTGTATATGACCAGTGTTATGAAAAGGGAGAAGAAAAAAAATAATTGTTTATAAAATAATGGAATAATATAATGTAAGAGCTATGTCCATGTGGATTAATCAGTATGCTGTGTATAAAGTAGCCCTATGTAGTAGGGCAGCACTACTTTTAATGAAGTATTTCTATCTCTATTATTATTATTTCATAAACATACAATTAAATTTGCAATCTGCAAATTGCTTCGCTTTTCATTAATTTTAATTTTCCACCTTGTGGCCTGTCGTTTCAGTGGTTTTGAAGAGTGGTAGATGCTCGTACAGGATTTTTATCTAAGCTGAGGATTGCGGTATCGTCAGCATAAATGCTCAGTAGAGTAGAGTGTCATTGTGTGTAGGTCAGACATTTTATCACAAAATGTCTGTCTGTTAAATATAAGAGTAATATTAACTAATAGGTCAGAAGAATGTTTAAAATGTTAAGTTTGGAAAGCAATCCTTCATGCCAAACTTTATCAAAAGCTTGACTGTTTTCAAGAAAAACTCCATGGCAATTATTATTAGATTTAAAGAATTGGAAATATAATCTACTAATCAGTGGCATTGTTGAACAGTAGAATGATGCTTTCTGAAACCAAATTGATCATTTGGAATGAATTTAAATATATCAAGGGAATCAAGACAATGAAGAATAATTTTTCAAATAATTTAGAAAAGGAAGGACGAAGGCTGATTGGACGATATAAATTTGGAGAGTCTGAGGATTTGTTAGGTTTTAATACCATGACAACTTCAGAATATTTCCAAAGGGTTGGATTCTCAGGAAGACAATTCTCAGAATAGAATTGTATATATTTGTTAGAATAAGGGTTGCCTTACAATATAAATTATTAATGATAAAATTCGTAATTAAGTCAAATCCTGGAGCTTTAATCATAGGTAAGCTTTGAATAAATTTTTGAACTTCATAAGGATGAATTGAATTTGGTGGTAATGTTATTGATAAAGGTATGTTTAGGTGATTTTGAGCAATTAGAGTAAAGAATTTGTCATTTATATCATTATGAGGTTTAAATGTTTTTGCTAAATGCTTTTTGAGGATCTGACTTTGACCAATAACCATCAGGATGCTTGAGAGGATGGGAGACAGCATGATGCTGGAGAATCCGTTTGGTCATACTCCAAAGTGATTTCTCACAAGTTGCTAAAACATACAAGAAGTTGTCAACATTTTCCATCTTTGTATGTCTTATTTCTTTATGAAACAGTTGAGTTAGTTTGTCAGATGAATAATGAGTTCTTTGCCACATTTTACGAGCTTAATATTTTCTGTTATTTCTTTTTTTTTTTAAGTTAAAATAAAATAAAAATAGAAAATCTATGATGCCTTGATAAGTTTTTTCCTGTCTATATCAAGCTGTTTCTTTTTCCTTTTTTTTCAATAAATATATATTTGGGAGCCAATCATACCTATGAAACAACTCTATAAAGGAATTACTCTAATGCTTAATATAATTGGATACAATATACCATTTTCTTTTACCATAGCCAGTTATTTATAATAATTATCTGTTCTAGGACGACAGCAAGTTTTTGCTAGGATAATAAATCCAAGCAATGTGCGACCTGTGATAGCTACAAACATTGTTCAAGAAGGAACTCAACAACCTTCACCTTCAAAGGAATAATAAATTCTTAATTTTATTTTAACAATATATATTTTAATGAAAACAGTTTTTTTCAGTTTTGAAAAACTGAATTAACTCAAGGCGTGATTGATCTCATCGTATTTGAGTTTTTATCCTATGTATATTTTTGTTTAGTTAAAATTATAGCAGGAATCAAGTTACATAAAATTTGTTTGTGTTTTAAAACTAAATTTCTTATATTTATTTAATTAATGGGATTGAATGCAATTTAGACTTCATTATTTTATTTAGTAATATGCTTCATATTTAAAATATAATTATTCGTATTAGCTATTAAAATTTCTTAAAAAATTATAATTTAAATATATTATGTTTATTGTAATAAGTTGAGAAATAATAAAATTAGAAAGTTTGCATTTTCCATATTATTTGAAATAAGTAAAATTAATAATATATATAAAAAAAAAAAAAAATCGCAATGTTAATATTTAACAACAAAGGCTGTGTTATTTTGTTCTTTTGTATATTATTCCCAATTTGACTAATGTACATTTAATTGTGATCAATGTATTTATTTTATAAGATTTGGAAATGCTATTTTGATTATTAGTAATTATGTTAATAATATTATAATTGAACTAATTATAATTGGTAATATATTAATTGTTAATTTCTTAATTAATAAATTAAATCTTTATTATTATTTTAGACACTGTAATTTATTTATATGGCTAACAATTAACTAATAGGCAGTTAGTAATTACTATTAGATCTTAAGAAAAATGGAGTAATTAAAAATAAGGTAGTGATTTTTTTAAATCCTTAATTTACTTATTTTTATCTTAAACTTTCTATGATTTTAACAATCTGTGATCAATGAATTTCGTTAAGTTGTCCTTTGTTTATGAACTGATGGTGTTTTTGTTTTTGAGGGTTTTCAAAGATCTCTGTGATATGAAATATTATTCTGTCTTTGAAGTCCTGTTTAATAGAGACTTTGTCAGGTATACATTATACAGTGACATATTGAGATCTTAAGATCCCAATCCCTATTCTTAATTACTGTTATTAATATCAGTATGATTCCTGATCAGAAGGTTTTTTTTTTTAGATAAAATCTTAATTTCCAATGCTGTTGTTTATTTTACAGTGATGTACTCTGAAGTCCAATTATGAACTTAATCCACTTGTTGAGAAACCAACCACATTTGGGTTAGCTGCTGCCATTAATATTACTCGTTAAAAGGTTTTTAAATACATACAAAAAGAATCAGTAAATATCTGTGATCATCTTAGTGCTATCGCCAGTTTTATGTATTTGTTTATTTATGTATGTTAAATTAAAACCATCTTATAATATTTGATTCAATTGTTTGTATTTATTTATTTCTTTTGCAATAGTTTTTGTTGAATTTCTGGGAGAGATCTGATTTTAATTTTATTCTTAATGTACTGTTTATTTCTGAAAAAAAAAAAAGAATAGTTGTATTCTGCTATCAATTAACAAAAAATGTTAAATTATATTGTAATTATCTGTAAATTTGTAAATACATCCATTGTAATACAGCGTTGTAAAAAGTTACCTAATTGTACAAATGGTTAAGGAATTTAAAATAATTATTTATGACATCGTGAATTAGTTGTAAATTTATATGTTTATTTGCATGTAAATAATAGAAGATATTCACAAATGAATATATTATGTATTGTTTAATATGTATATTATACATACATGTAATAATATTGTCTTTAATAAAGATGTCTCACTATTTTTTCTTTATGAAATTATGATTTATGATGTCCTTAGCTATTTTGGTGTTTAATCATGAAATCAGTAATAGGCTTCCAATTTTTACCTCTGGATCATGATAACTGTAATTAACATTGATAAGATCCTTATAATCTGAGATTTATTAGCCTTGATGAATTGTTCTTCTTAAGATGGTATTGATTCCATTTCTTTCATTTGAAAAATTATTCACAATACTTGGAAATTGGGTTATATTGGCATATATATGTATATGGCTACATAACTGGTCTTCATCAGTAATAAATGTTTTGATATTGTTTGAGAAATGTTTAATATTTTAAATACGGTAGACCTTTTAAATATAAAAAAGGAGATTAGTGAACTGTGCTCCGAGGAAAGGTCTTCTTAACCTTTTATGTATATATTGAAAATAAATTTGGAATGATAAAAAGGATCTAATCATGCTTGGATGAATAAATAAACATCAGGATTTCGGTTAGTGTATATGTATGCCAATTGGTTGGATTATCATGGAAAATCAAACTGAAGTTTTGACAAATAACTGCTGACATCAGTGTTTGTAGTAGTTCTGGACCCCATTTAAATCTGCACCGAGGAGGATTTGGTGTCATCAAAAATTGAGAAGGGAACTGAATTGGGTATTGAATATTTATTTGTTTGAAGAACTATATGAGTGGCTTCATATTAAAGAAAGACATCAGTCATTTTTAATAAATTGAGAAAAGCCATTTTTTGTAATAAAGCTTCAATTTGGACAAATTCTTATGATTGTTTTTTCTAATTCAACTTGAAACGTTTTTAAATAAAATCATCAGGAACAGTTTGAGTTCAATCTTTAAAAACAATTTTGACTTTTTCTCCACATTCTGAACATGACAGATGTTCATCTTGGATATGAAGCCATTCATATAGTGATGTAAATATGATTGCATCATAATAATTGAAGTATGATGTGTACATAAATTAAAATGGCTTCAAGGAGAAGACTAGCCAAGTCTCATTAAAATTGTTACAGCCATTTGGTGCGTAGTCTATAGTGGATATCGGAGATGATTTTTTAAAAATTTTTGTAGCGTATTTAGGAATCTTTCAAATACTCATAGGTTCAGAGGTGGTTCCGAGAATTCTCTGAGGTTAGAGCGCACGCAAAACCAGCAAATTCCATACACCAATATATATATATATATATATATATATATATATACACACAAAGCCGCCGCATGGGTTTTTGGTGCGATTTAAATATAGAAAGAGAGATGATGATAATAATAAAGGCTTAGAAAAATTTTCGATGCCAATACCATCAATCACATCTTATATGCTCCCATCCAAGGACTTTTGTGAGTTTTTGGCGCCCGGGATAAAATTATATCAGGCGCACTTCACTCTCAGATCTCTTGAATTCCGGCAGTAGTATTTTGTCTCATGTTTATGGGTTATATTTATGATAATTAGACTTTTACATTTCCATTCCCGACCTATAAATCGCCAGCCAAATTTTTGTAATTTATCTGACAACAGCAAATGGAACTGAGGTTAGAAATAATTATTCCACTGGTCATGTATGATGATCTAAGCAATCATTAAAAGGAATGAATTAAAAAGTAGAAAACAGATAGAAATATTTTTAAAAGCATTGTTTATATTTTTATCACTGGTTCATGAAGTTCCCTCCGCCACTGGCACACTGGAAGGAAACGTCTAAATCGGGGACAAAATACCAATTTTTAAGCATTTTATTTTCTTGAAAAGTTTTATATATTCTCGAAGCCAGATAGCTGGTGACATCGAATGTACAAGTTATGATAATTTTAAAAATATTTCCAATTTTAATTCCAAAGTTGGTGTTATGGGAGAATAAATTTGAATGAAATGTGATAACGATTTATATTAAATTATATCTAAAGGAACAGACAAAATTTAAAAAAATAACAATGCAGAATACTTATTGTGACCCCTATATGTACTTCATTTGCACTAACACTAATACTTGATCACAGTAAAAGGTTTTTAAAAAATCGCTCTTTTAGAGTTATTTTTAAATTATTTTGCTGCCAGAAGCCACCTTCCATTTCAGTCTCATATTGTCACTGAGATAGTAGTAAACATTTTCAGAGACAATTTAGCCGCAATCGACTCCGACCAACCTTTTGGCACATTTTTTTTAAACTTAACTATCTAAGAAAACTCTGAAGATACCAAAAAATTATTATCGTAACCAGCAGTAGCGATTTCTGCCAGGGAGCACGCCCTCCCTTGGCTATAAAAAAAAAGTAACAAAAAACAACTATTTAAAGAAATGAGAAAAGTAGGGAAAATTCATCCACATACATGAATTTCATAATGTAAAAAAAAATATCGTGACCAGCACTAACGAATTCTGCCAGGGGCACTCCCTCCCTTAGAGGGTGGAAAGAAATTCCGAAAAAGCACCTGTTTAAACAAAAGAGAAATATAGGGAAAATTCATCCTCATAGACGAATTTTCTAATGTAATATATATATATATATATATATATATATATATATATATATATATATATATATAAATAAAAAGTTATTATCGTGACCAGCACTAGTGATTTCTTCCAGGGAGCGCGGCCTCCCTCTGAAAAAATTAGTTAGAAAATAACTCCGAAAAAAAAGATCCAGAAAAACATCTATTTAAAGAAAAGAGTGATGTAGTGTTTGGGCCGCCGTGAGATGGGAAGGCTTGTGCTCCTTTCGCAGTTTGTTCCTTTTGACTTCGAACTGAGTCTCGCAGATGAAATAAATGATAGTGGACCTTTTAAATGTAATTACACGAACAATAGTACTTTAAGAGATAATTTTTTAATTTTTTTTTCCAAAAAAAATGGTTATATTTTACAATTTTGGGGAGGGCTTCAGCCCGAAAGCTCCCCCGTAGATCCGCCGGTGGCTTTTGATAACCAATTTGTTGTTAAGAATCGGAGAATTGTTAAATAATTATTTAGGCCCAGTTGTATAATTGGAGTTCAAGCTTGATTTTTCATGGTTGACTGTATTGCAACCTTGAACTTGACTTGAGGTCCAATTGTACAACTGGCCCTTAGTAAGTACCTCATTAGATTATTTAAGACTTTTCAATATTTATTATAAAACATTTTTTAGGAAATTAAAATAAAACTACAATTACACAACTTATGGTTATTTAAGTGACTGATTTTATTTCAAGGAATAATTTAAATTAACCCAATTTTTACTTTCACTTACTATATAATATATAGTATGGGTAACTATTGCGATCGAGAAATTTTTTTAATTTGAGTTTGCAACGGAAATACACGTTTTGGACTACCCTGAGTCCAAATAACCATGTTACGAAAAATGGTCTCTGTGTCTGTGAACACCCAAGCACAAAAAGGAAAACTCGTACGAAACTGATATTACGTATTTAAGATAGGTATATGCCTCAGTAGTCCCAGATCTATCGAAGAATTAAACACGTGATCAGCGGCAGAAGATTTGAAAATTAAAAATAGTAGAGATTTAGACGGTAATGGCGAAAACCATCGAGTTAGAGGAACAGGAAGCGTTAGGATCTGGTCGAATTTCAAGAAGTGAAAAAACTGCCAAAAATTATGTGATCAGCAACAGGAAAAAAACCAACTGAAATAGTTTCAGACCACTTAGTAGGTAACAGTTTTAATAAAGTCAGCCAAACTTTAGAAAGCTTTATACGAATCTGAGAGCTTTAAAAATCGTAAAAAGTGTCAAAAATTACGTGATCAGCAGCAGGTAAAAACCAATTGGGATAGTTTCAGACCACTTTGTATGTAACAGATTTAATGAAGTCAGACAAAATTTTGGAAAGTTTATACGAATCTGACAAGCTTATTTGAAAAAAGTGCCAAAAATTACGTGATCAGCAGCAGAAAAAAAAACCGACTGAAATAAGTTCAAACTAATTAGTACGTGTGTACGTGAACACTCTAGCTCGAAACCGAAAAGTCGTACGAAACTGATATCTAAGATAAACATATGCCTTAGATGTCCTGGTAACGTTTTCCTTAAAATCGGATAATCGGAAGTGTCACTTTATATTTACGCTGAAACACATTTTTACAATTTTTTCAAAAACGGCCTCAACGATTTTGATTAAACTCGGTGCATCATTGTATAATTAAGTGGTCTTTAATATCATTTAGGTTTTATCCCCGTTTATGTCACTTTACAGGGCTTAAATGCCCAATGTTCATATGCGTCTTCCTCTAAAGTACCTTTAATATTGTTTATTTTAAATAATCAACTATCTTTCATTATTAAAAGTTACGAAAAAATGCTAAATATACCTTTTGAAAGAATTTGATAATTGAATAAAGGAGAAAAAAATAAAAATGCTTATACAGGTCGAAAATGAATCTCCGGAAATACAAGTCAGAAGGTATACTTATAATAATAGTGGGTAAATGGTTGATTGTCGTGAATAATGACGAGAAGAATAGTTGGGGTGATCAGTCAAATCAGAAGGCAAAAATAAATGATAATACTTATTTTTGCCTTTTTATTTGACTGATCACCCCAACTATTCTTCTCTTCATTATACTTATCTTACTTCATTATACTAGCCCAATATGGCCAGAAAATAATTTCTATTCAAAGTTGAGCGGTAAGTGAAAGTTTTGTATAGCGCACACCGGATTTTTAATTATTGTTTCCGATACAAGAAACACTACAAATTTAAAAAAAAATCTGCTTTTCTGTTTGGGATAATACCATGGTCTAAAAACCTTTTTGTTACTTTTGAGGTCTACTATCACTTATCAATATTTCCTGCCATTTTCCGGAAACCCTGTTGAATAATAATAATTATGATGAAACTAGATTAATAATTGCTGCATTTGCATGACTCTTTATAACTTACACATTAACTATAAATCTAAGTTTATGAAAATAATGGGTAATAATTCAGCAGTATGGAAATAATAAACACATTTCCACTTTTATTACTGTCAGGAGTAGAAAAGACAAGTGGTTTTTTTTAAGACGGTTAC